AGGTACACCAAAACTTTTTTGATGTATAAAGTTACACATTATGATCAAAAGAGCAAGCCTCAAAAGTGAAGATTTCAGAACAGGCCAATTTTTATATCCTTCTAACGCAGGGTTCCAGACATCATCCACTAAGTTCCTTCCTTCTTCCAAGTAGGAGGTACGAGTTCTGGGGGCCTGCTTTCGGAGTATGAGTTTTGGCTCATTTTTGTTAGTGGTCAAATCAGATGAAACCTACAGACTTCACATGGGTATAGCCATAATTTACCACGCTTCAGCGATTGTCCAGATTGATTGTTTATGCCAGCTTTCAGTTCTATGACGGAAAACGAAAACTCGAAACATGTTCTGGAATACAAACAGACTATTAGGCCCTTCACATATATTTCTGGCAATCTCGAAAATAGAAATATTGACGTAATGGAAATAGGATCCTTTCTATTCTTTCAAAATTGTTTTCATTGGCACAGCTTTTATTACTACATCTTGCAGTGAAGATATGGTTCTTATGTGTGGATGGATTTGGATAACAGGCATTATACCAAATATTATTTATATTGCATCACAGTGTATGTTATTATGCACTCTCAGGACTCGTCTACACCGTGGAATTTGTTTATGATTTTGAAATGATCAATATAGGCGATGTAAGTAGTTGTTCCCATGCAACAATATGATGGAAATTGGACAACATTACTATATGGAACAGTGATTGTGATGACTTATACTGAATTTGGAATTAGTTCTCAATTCCGAATTTGCTCATAGGGCTGAAAATATCTACCCTTTGCATTCACCGACTTTGCTTCTTAAAAGAGAACTTCGTCTAGTTTTTACGACTCTGAGCGCAGGGTAGAAAATATTATAAAGGAGAAAAATCTTTTCAGTATGTAATGATTTCTGAAATTAGAATACTGATTCACTGGACTGTGATGTAAAGGTTATGTTATATACAATCAGATAGGCTTGAGATTTATTACTTTACAAGACTGATATGAGAGCAGGATTGGATCCCTGATAATGGTTGCATTGCAGGGCAGAATTAAATTGTGATTTATTTGCACCAGACAGCTGATGAAGCATTGATATTGTTGTTGTTTCTTCGATTATGTGTTCAGTGGAGAGTAAGACCTTATTGATCACAAAATAAGAATCGCCAAATAAAAAGGTAAGCGTCTTTTGTATGGAGAAGGATTATGAAGAAAACGTGAATGAGAGTTTCAAAGAAAAAATTCAAAGAGCTGAGGCCACAGTATATGGAATTAAAAATATGTTGTTTTAATGACAGGACCCTTTTTCAAATTAGGGCCTGCTTTTCAAATTCTTTCAAAAATATAACCTTCTTTTGAAAATGCAATCCATTTTGATACTCAAAGGAGAGAGAAAATGGGGATGGTCCATTATATGCCTCACCCCCCCTGTATACCAGTCTTAATAATATAAGCCTTTCTCAGCTAGTCTTTTAACATGCCTATGTATGTACTTATTGTACATTGTAGTATTTTTAGGTTGAAAATCATGCGAGAAAGATGTTTAACACAGCTGACTTTGAGGAAAGGTGAATACCTTAAAGCCCAGAGGCATATTGTTATGACTGTAGATGAAACTTAAAAAAAACAAAATAAAATTATTGAAGAGTACAAACACAATGATTCTCAGCTATCAAATTACCCTTTGCTTCGTTCAACTTAACTTCTTAAAAGAGAGCTTCATTTTCACTCTTCCAGTTTACAATAATTCTCTGAATTCACCGAGCCAATCAGAGATCATCATTGAAATATGGATGACTTTCTATTATTTGGTCATATCTTCTGAGATCATTGCATTGTTGACAAGTATGTACTTCGCATGTGTTCCTACCAGTTCACTGATTGGTCGAGAAAAGGTCAATGCGGTAGGTGTGAAATGATTTATGACCCGAGCTGTCACGGGTATCGGTCGTGGGGACGGGGCTACTAAACTGTAATATTGTCTATACTAGGTAGAGGGTAGTTTATAACTAGACTCTGCACACAGGGTAACATAAAATGAGCCTCAATTTCACTTATTGACAGCTCCCAATAATTTATGTTTTCCCTCCACTTGTAGATTATTTCAATTTCTATTTGGCTAAGTATTCAACCATTTGTCATTTATTTCCTTTAAAACAAATGCGAGTATGCTATATTGATCAACCTGAATATCTCTTTAAATGGTATATGAATATATTGCACACTTGGGATCTGTCAATTTGTTGAAAAAAGTGAAAATTCTTGAGACATCATGAAAAGTGAAGTTAGTTCAAGAGAGGCATTATTCACGATGTGTCAGTGATTTTGAACTGCATGGGGAAATGATAAAGAAGTCAATCCTAGCTAATAATAGAGTTCACAGAACCTTGAAACTAGTTTTTCCTGAATTATTGGGGAAATCATAAATCTTGGGGTAATCTCTAAAAAGTACATAGTCCAGTCTTAAATGAAGGGAATATAAGTTTTAAATGATGATGTCATTTGCCGGAGCTTGTGAGCAATAAGAAGCCATATTATCTTGTATTAAAGTTTCTTGTTGACCAATTTCTGACTTTGAGAGGAACTTGTTTTAGACTCTGGGAAAGAAGTGTGACGACTGAATTGTTTTTGAATAAGAAGTGCCAAAAATGCACTTTTTGTTTATCGATTTCAGTCCAAAGAGGGGACATCATTGTAGACCCTGAGATAGTAAAATGATGACTGGATTGTTGTATATGGGTGTGCCAAATATTTCACAAAAGACAAAACACATAGTAAAAATATGTCATAATATAAGCTTTAATGAACAATAACGTATTAATACTCTTTGTCACCAATTCATTTTTGATGGAAATTTTAAAAAATCCTTTTACGCTTATTTTTTCCAACTTATTTGCTGGCATCCTATACATGTATTTTCATTTTTTACTTCTAAGACTTTAGAACATGTACCACCATGATTTTTTCTAGAGTAATTAAGTTTCATAATTTCTGGTCAATTTATTGACAAAAACATTTCTATCGACAAGAATTGAGAGTTCTTTTTTAATCATTTCAATTTGATTATGTATAGAGGATGAGATGGGACTTAAATATAGGTAGCATCTTTCATTGATTCTCTTGAGAATATGACCTTTTGTGTTTCAAATTATCTACTAATTAGATTGACTTTTGGAACTGATGGAAAAAACAGCTTGTTAAAGGTTACAATACTAAGCAACTCAAGTTTTTGGTATCAGTTGTCAAGCCCTAAATGAAATACATACTAAATGGAATACTTTACACTCTATATACCTCCTTCAAAAATGGTGACATAAATGGTCAATCCATTTAATGCAAAATCTGTAGATGTCACCATATCGCCTGCTTTGACGGACATTTACTATTTTGTTATTTTGGCATCATATTTTTCTATATTTGACTTGAATCGTGGAATAATGTATATTGTCCATAATATCATTGACCATATCAATTGAGTGTCATGAACTAACTATCAAATATATGTCTAATTGACAGGGTTACACCTTTCCCCGAGTCAGGTATAGTGTATCAAAATCTACAGAGAAAATACAAATGATTGAAGCCAATATTTGATCATCATAATTACACTTCCGTTTCTTTCTGATCCTTGATTGGTATCGATATGTCTTTTATAGGAAAACCTTTCATAAGTCACCCTCTCTTTAATGCCGTATCAAATATTTACTGTATTGATAGTTAACAGCCCCTTATTGATGGAAATATCAAAGCAATAGTAATCATCTATACATTTCAAAAGATCAAAATTGGGGAGGTTTTATTACATGCATCTCAATTGTATGTGTATATTGATCTATTTATGTAGAAAGACCCCGTATTTACTATTATATACCTGTGTATTTTAACGATATCCTGCAATGAATATAGAACCTACAATTTCATTTCAGAAAAATAACATTAAAAACAGCTAGGATAATAAGTTTTTGGAATTTGGACACATTCGGTTGTGACGAAAGTTACTTCCTCTATGGTGTATGAGCAGAATTTTAATAAGATTACACAAAAGAGCAATACATTTCAATTGGCAGTGAAATTCTTTTTTTGTCAATCGAAGAACGTCATTATTTGAGTCATTTGGGAAATATGTAAGAAGTCTTGGTATAAGGAATGCTCTTAAGGTAACGGATTGTTATATCATATATGTGGATAGAAACGCACCACAGTCATTTGTGATGAGACTGTAGGATAGGAATGTATAAATGGCATTTTCTTTGAGGAAATGTGGAATATTGCATTGAAGTAAGGCGCATATCTCTGTTCTAGCAAGACAGAAATGAGAAAGAATGGAAAAATTATTATATGTATTCTACTATGGTTTCGATGAAACTAGCCTAGTTGGCCCATTTGTCAGGCTAGGGTATTCTATAAGATAGGAGGTGACAGCATCATTTCTGATCACCATGACAACCAATCTGTTTTGCAACTGAAAATATGAATGGAAATATTACTGCATGTATTCTGCTCTGGTTTCAGTAAGACAAGTCGAGTGACTTACATGTACTTCAATTAATAGGTCATGCCAGGGTACCTTAAAACAGGAGATGACAGCATCATTTTTGATCACCATGACAACCTTTCTGTTTTGATATTGAAAACTCAGAACTGAAAGGAAAAGAGATGCAATAGCTTATATGGTTTATCATGATACTGGAACATAATGAAACAGTATTTGATATTGAGGATTCTCTTTCTTGAAAACAGTAACAATTTAAGGCTGGACTTACGAGTTCAAAAGATTCAAACCAATGTCTCAATCACTTCTTGTGTATTTTGGAATTTTTTGTTTAAAAGTAAGACCAAAAATTGTGATCAAATTCTGAATCGAACAAAATGGTGGTTGTTTGGATTCAAATTTTGTTATCACAGCATCTCCAAATATGGCTGCATATCAAATAAGAACCCTGGGAGCCCACCCTCCTTGATTCATGTGTTCATTATTCATTTCAAATGATAATTTTTTGTTTTCCATTTCAGGAGCGTCCAAGTTCAGCCCTAGACCAGCCACTATCATCTCCCCGTCGCAAAACAGTCGTCACTTACAATCCAAACCAGAACACGTCGCATACCTATGACAACAGTGACACAATGTCAGAGGCTGATACAAGTGCGACTGGATTTCGCCGTGGTGGAAAACTTAGGGCCAGTTTACCAATCGTTAGGGATGCGTCAAAGACTTTAGATAAACCTCTAGGTGAGTGGCATGCTTGAAATCTCAGCTTGAAAACTCAGAACATTAGACCAAGAAGAATGAAGTAAAACATGCTTCGAGTAATTTGAGCAAAACATGTTTCAGGGAGCTTGAGTAAAACATGTTTCAGAGAGCTTTAGTAAAACTCAAACACAGTTCAGCAAGCTAGATTAAAATAAGCTTCAAGGAGCTTGAGTAAAACTTGCTTCAGGGAGCTTGAGTGAAACTTGCTTCAGGGAGCTTGAGTAAAACTTGCTTTAGAGAGCTTGAGTAAATAGCCTCCAGGGAGCTTCAGTAAAACAAAAACGCCAGTTAAGCTCGAGTAAAGCTTGCTTCAGAGAGCTTGAGTAAGACGTGCCTCAGAGAGCTTAAGAAAAATTTGCTTCAAAGAGCTTGAATAAAATTAGCTTTTGGGAGATTAGAGTAAAACTTGCCTCAGAGAGATTGAGTTAATTTGCCTCAAGGAGTTTGTAGACTATAGAAATTGTCTGTGCATTGCAATAATATTTTGATTAAATCGTTTGAGGTCTAACCCATCACAGCTGATCTTCTTAATGTGATTAGCATTCGTGCATTTCTTCATTGAATTGCTAAATAGAGGGAAGTTAATGAATTGACTTTATTGATCTTGTACATAATTGTGTTACCTTTCATTTCTCTCTTATAGATGTCATGTTAGGTGATACCATCTAGAGATAAAATTGAGAATTAAGGATGATTGGATATTATTGTTAGTTTATTTTTTGGTTTGGCATTTCAGTCAATATAGCCTTTCATCAAGCTCTTAGCTTCCCAAAGAGTAAAACATTCTTCAGGGAGCTTGAGTTAACATCTTTCAGGGAGCTTCAGTAAAAATACTTTAGGACACTTGAGTAAACATCTTTCAGGGAGCTTGAGTAAATATGCTTCAGGGAGTTTGTATAAACTATATATAAAAATTGTCTGTGCATTGCATTGATATTTTGATTTAATTGTTTGAGTCTAACCCATCACAGCTGATTTTCTTAATATGATCATCTTTCGTGAATTTCATGATTGAATTGTTAAATAGAGGGAAGTTAATGTATTGACTTTATTGATCTTTTATATAATTGTGTTACCTGTTTCATTTCTCTCTTATAGATGTCAGGGTAGGTGATACCATCTAGAGATACCATCTAGAATTAAGAATGGTTTAATGTTATTGTTGGTTTATTTTTTACATTTCAATCAATGTACAATGTAGTCTTCCATCAAGCTTCTTGCTTCCCAAGTTTCTCCCTTACATAAGTCTGTGGGAGGGGGGGGGGGCATAAATTAACCGGACACCTGATACAAGAATACTATTAACCTCTTGACTACCCAGAATGACGGACCAGAGGAACGAGAAAATCCGTCACAAAATTGTTCACAAAAATTGCTCTTATTTGAACAATTTTCATCCAATTTACACAAAAATTGTTTTAAAACGTGTAGAAACGATCTCTGCCATCTAATTTTACTAAGTTGAGCATCAAAAGTTGTAAAGCTATGTAGTAAAATGTCAAAAGGTGGCAAAAAGGAAAAATCCTCTGGTTTCAACCAATTTTAGAGCCTGGGATTCAAGAGGTTAATGTACACTGGTTGCTGGTTGACAATGGGCCCACGGTTTTCATTATCCGTCTTCTTTTTTGAAGGGGCCAAAGTGCAAAAAGGGCTGGACTGATTAAGTAGGGGGAGGGGGGGGGGGTGTCCAGAGGCTTGATTCAAGATTATGAAGTATCATGTAATTCAGACATTTCTGCGTTTGAAATAATGACATGTCAGGAAATTATTGATTTTGAACTTTCATAGTATCTCATTAAAAACTCATTAGTTAATAGAAAATAGAATTCAATATATTAGGACATACTCTTTATGTATATGCTCTTAATGAAGTCAATTAATGATATTCATATAACAGCACACAATTTCTTATTAAAAACTATTTTTACTCATATTTTATCTGTTTTATGGCTGTTGTCTCATATCTGGGATGTATATAAAATACATGTATGCCAATCCCAGCTCATGGGAATACTTTAACTTTATGTGTTTTTTTGTCTGCAATCTTACACCCTCTGAATGTGAACATAGCAAGTTAAAATATATATCTTCCTCCAGCTGGTCCCAAAATGTTCACATTAATTTTATTTATTTATTTATTTCATGATAATATAACAATGGAATGTACAAAGCATGTGCACTCGACACCCTTAGTAATTGGGCGTATCAGTGCATATATCAAAAATTATTGCAGAGCAATCACAAAACATATAATATATAACAGTATAACATACATAATCAGTGTGAAAGGGGGAGGGGGGACAGGGTAGTGTATTAGACATTACATTCAATTCAATTTATTATTCAATTTTAGTTTTCATAAATATAAATTTACAAGAGATATGAAAAGGACACATATAGTAATGTCCAAAAACCAGAATTACACATAACGATTTTAATCGTTTATTTGTATTAATTTATTGTTTATGACTGTATTCAGCCAGCCATTGGCAAAGTGGTTGAATTATCCATCTAAGTGTTTCATTTTATGAGCTTTTTATTGTCATATATCAATTTCTGTGTTTGTATATTGTTAATTAATACCAAGGTCCCCTGGTTTACTACAATGCCATGACTGTTAGTTATCCTAAAATAGAGAATATATTTTTTATAATTATAAGGTTTATATCATTGCCCTTTCAGTTGAATATGCCAATATGAAGCAAATGCAGTAAAACATGTCTAAGTGGAACACCTTTGGTACCTCTAAAAAGTGTTCCACTTTGGATGTGTCCCACTTATAGAGGTTCATTATTTTGACAATAAGTCAGTCTGAAGTGTATTCAGTAACCATGGGCGTAGCGCTATTTTTCTAGGAAGTACGCCACCACCACGGGAACAAGAGTTGAGTGAATCAAAAATCGAGCATTCAGGGGGTCTGGGGGTTATTTTGGAATTTGGTTGTATTTGGAGCGAATTTGCAACCATCTGGTATGCCTGTGCATAACCCAGCGTACCGGGCGCTACGCCCATGGTAACAGAGCTGTTCCACAAACAGAAGTGCTGCACTTTAGAAGTGTTCCACTTTACACTATGTTTCACTGGATATACAAACTATGTATGTAAAATATATTTTAAAGCTTTAAATATTCATCATGATTTCATGTATGTATACATCTATTACAGTGAAAATTTAGTATGAAATGTCCCATGGTTAATTAAGTTTTAATTTCAATAATATTTATTTATGCCTTTACAATTGAGTCAAACTTCAAACAAAAGGATACATCACATATGTAAAATTAAAAAAGAATTAGGTGAAACAAAGCAAATCATTATTGTATTTTGAATTGTGGTTGTTATTGTGCATTTGTAAAAGCATGTAACTTCAAGCTAAAAAGAGAGCTCTTTTTGATAAATGACAAGTAGTCATATTTTAAAATATGATCTAAGCATTAAAAAATATGATCAACAATAGATTAAATAAACAAAAATGCAGGAAATACCTGTAATTGTTCAGAAAGGCTTTGCAATCAGATAATACATTCAATTTTTAGAGAGGAATCCTGAGGGACAAGCATGTGATAGAGGAATTTTGAGAATGGGACATCAACTGCAATTACAAAGTGAGAACAGTTGGCTTTATTGAGTTGCAATCATGAACGAATCAAAAGATTTTTCAAGGGGTCCTTTTAAACACCCGATATATCTCAAATAAAAGGCCCTTGAAATAATTGATTGTTAGAGCAGAGGGACAAAGGAGATCAATACCGATCAAAGTTAGACACTGTTTTAATATACACAACTAGCATCTCCCATGCCGAAAACGTATTTTTCATCATTGTATTTCTCAGTATTTCTCTCTAAAATTTGAATAAAGTATCTGATTTTCTCGCATTTCTGTACAATTTAGAGTGTTGTTCACATTTCTGTTCACTTTATTTCTTGCTAATTCCAGTCTTTTGTATTCTAATTTCAATTTCAAAACACAACCACCAATTCATTTTTTCTCATAACTACCCCTTGCTGAAGATTTATTAGTTAACTATAAAGCTCAGTGATCTTCATCAGCTTTCAAATGAAATGTTTTACATCAATACTATCTAGTTAATTTCTCATAGATTGATTTCCATTAGAGCAAGTTACTTTAATTGTAGAATTACATTATTATATTTAAGTCCAGTTGTTCTTCTCGCTGGTTTTTTAGCTTCGTTTCATTAGTTTCAATATCACGGCCCATAGAGAGACGACATTGTCCACCTATCCATTTTCCTCTCAGAAGGTGCCAATTGTATTGATACCCCATTCCGCAATAAGTCATTTAAAGACAGTTGCTTATTATGACACGAATGCTAATATAATTTGGGTTCATTTTTAGAGGTCTAATAAAGTAGATTGTGTTCTTGCTCGAGTTTGGCTGGATTATAAGAATGAGGCAGTATAGTAAGATTACATAGAGAGATAAACCACTATGATGTATTGGGAGCAAATAATCTCGCAAATAATTCACAGAATAAAGAATATTAGGAGTCAGGGATCCGTTTTTGGAACCATTGTAACTTACGATTTGGTCGCAAGTCATTGTTCGTCGAAAAGTAGACAATGGTTTACTCAGAATAGTAAGTTACGATTGTACCAAAAACTATTCACAGAGTAATAAGATACAACAGAATTTGCAGAGAACTTGATATAAATGAACGAAAAATGATCAAATTGCAAAGATGAGGTCTCTTTTTAAATCAAAAGCGAAGAAGCGGCCAGCGGTTGTCATACATGATGCTGCATCTCACAATAGGAAACCGCAGGATCGAAAACTAGGTAATACTGATGGGAAAGTTAAGCTCCTTTAACTTAGTTCATTAATATAAAACAATAAGGAAGGCATAGTGGTGCATATTAGTTCATTAAGGAAAGCATAGTGGTGCAAATTAGTTCATTAAGGAAGGCATTGTGGTGCATATTAGTTCATTAAGGAAGGCATAGTGGTGCATATTAGTTCATTATGGAAGGCATAGTGGTGCATATTAGTTCATTAAGGAAGGCATAGTGGTGCATATTAGTTCATTAAGGAAGGCATAGTGGTGCATATTAGTTCATTTAGTTCATTAAGTAAGGCATATTAGGCGTGGCGCATATCAGTTTATTAAGGAAGGCATAATGGCGCATATTATTTCATCAAGGAAGGTAAAGTTGTGCCTATTAGTTCAGTAAGGGGCGGGGTCAAAATATCAATGTTCATATGGAGACGAAAGTAATTTCGTTTGGACAACAACCCCCCCCCCCCACCCCCCCCTCTAGACGAAAGCTTAGGTCACTTCAAAAAAAACATTGATTTGCATAATCGTATCCTATTTGCCGGGTTATTATTACGGTGAATTAACACACGTTCGCAATTTAACTGCATTGAACTCTTCAAAAGGAGGAGGGAAAAGTACGGAATTTATTTGAAAAATGATCGAATTATCGTCTTTATCTACCGATATTTTGGACCTATCACACAAAAAAGCTCACGAACTATTGAAAACAAGCCTTTTTATCAGAACATAGCGCCAGAAAAAGTGGGTAAGTCCAATTATTTTTTGTATATCAGATCCGAATTATCGATGTTTTTTTGGTCAACGAAAGTGCCCAAAAACCCCCTCCCCCCCTCGCAAAAGTACTTTCGTCTCCATATGAACATCGATATTTTGACCCCACCCCTAAAGGAAGGCTTAGTGTTACACATTAGTTCATCAAGGAAGGCACAGGGCCGCACATTCCTTCATTTTAGGAAGGCACTATGGTACACATTAGTTCATTAAGGAAGGCACATAGGCGCATAATTTTGACCAATTTGCAAGTTATGTCAGTATGCTCGACTGTGTATAGTAAAAGGTTACAGTAAATTGCATTCTACATTACTCATTCTACTCAGCCTTTATTAATGTTAATATATTTTATACTTTTTGTATATTATTCTTACAGCGGGCTCACTCTTAATTTACAACATACTGACACGTGAATCATGTTGCAGATTGGGGGGGGGGGGGGGGGGGGCAAGGGCGAGCTTAGAGATTTTTGCCCCTCCCCCTTCTTGATTTTCACATGTGTCCCTGGTGTTAAATAATTTGAATATTGTAGTTTAAGCCTGGAAACACAAAGGTTGAGTTAAGAATCTGAGTTGAACAATTGCTATGAAAAAGTTTTTCAACTGAAAATCCTTCACATACAATCGCTTGTAATAATACAGGTACATGTACATACAAGATTTACAAGCTAGAGTCATGTATCATTAGTCATCATCATTAAACGAAATTAATTCTCAATTAATATTAAATTGAATGGCCCCTAATGATGTTTACAATTATACATATATCATCATATTAGTGAAACAACTTTGTCTTATTAATACGTATTAGATACAAGAAATTGAATTCAAAGTTTGATGTAATAAATACATATCTGTATCCCTATATATATGTATTATGAATGGGGACTATCCAAGAGAATGAAGACCCTTCTATTCCACATGCTTAACATTTTTTATTGCTCAGTAATGGTTGAGGGATATAGCTCATTGTTGGTTGGTATGTTGAGGGGGCATAGATACAGGAGAACCTTTCTAATCCAAACACCATTTGGACTGGCTAAAATCATTTGGACTAGGAGGTGTTCACATTTTAAGGTTTTTGCATTCTACACGAGATTCTACATACAGTTTTTACGATCCCTTCACCTTTAGTCCAAGGGTATTTCAACTCTTCATAATGCTTAGCGAGACCCAATCTTGAAGGATGCTTTCTCTTGGAAAAGAGAGCTTTAGATAAAGAGAGAAATAAAAATCAAAATCTGAATGGAGATACTGGATTTTAAAAAAAAGTGAACACATTCTCAATATATATTTATAGTTCTATTAGACCACATCATTTATGACATTCCAATAATTTGAATTTAAGATTCAAATGAATTCATTAGTCTTGTTTGAAAGACACATTTTCCCAAAAGTATGGATATTATGATAAAACAGTTATTAATAGAAAATATTTGAACGATTCTGACATCAGATTTTATGAAAACTGTTCAGATTAGATAGCTTAGTTTTTCAAATGTGACTGTTCACCGTTCACATTTTAAAGGTTTTTTAACATGGGGGTCAATGGGAGGAAAAATGGGACCAAAACATTGTTCAGATTTGCCAGGTGTTTGGATATACTGTATTATATCCCTGTAATATACATTAATGTTTGTTCTGCACCTTTGTCATGTTGACAAAGATTCACTAGCAATAAAGTAAAAATTCAAATATTCAACATTTCTGTTTCCAGGTCTCGTATTTCTGATTTATCGAGAGGAAACAAAGAGGGCGCTACTCCCTAATGAGATCACTTCATTGGATACAGTCCGTGCATTATTTGTCCGCTCCTTCCAAGACAAACTGACCATGCGTTACCTTGACAATCCGTCTAAGAAGATCTACATTATGGACTCTACCACTAATGTCTATTATGAATTAGAGAATTTCAGGTGAGACTTGTCTGTTAGTTATAATGTTATGTCACCATAGCAAGTGGTGACATATTGTTCTGGTCTCCAACTTTTTTGTGTTTGGAGTTCAGAGTTTGGTGTCTGTTAAAAATGGCAGGTGGTGGTACTTTGCATGTTATGCCATGTTGCCATTGATATTGTTATTTTATGTCCATATACCAACATCAACATATGTTGAGTTTTCAAATTAGGCTGTGTGGGCTCCCGCTCAACACTGTGTGTTAATTTTTGGGGCAGACAGTGGGGCATAGCATGGACACACGGTGGGCAAAGCGAATAGTTTTATAGCAAGATACCCACCCCCTCCCCGATACCAAATACAAAATTGATTAATTCGAAAAAAATTAATGCCCAAAACATTTCGGAGATACACATGCGTGAGCCCACACGGCCTAGTGTGATAGCTACTTAAGGAAGTGTGAACCACATCAACACTTCTCCCATTGTCTCCTGTGGGAGTATCAGCCTTGATTAAATTCTTACTTACACAGGTACTTCAAGGCCAGGAGCTCCATAATGTCACTTTAGCTAAGGCAATTACTTTTTGATTAGTTGATTAATTGAGTTGAATTAATTGTATATTCATGCTTATTGCCTTGGTCAATCACTGTTGTTAGTGACTTGTTGTGATTTATTGTTTGTTAATGGCAAATATCTGAGTTAAAATTCAATTAGATTCGATTCATTTGTTTTATCTTTTCAAGCTAGTTTATACTGCACTAATTCAGAAAACATATTTGAGGCCTACAGTACATGTATTTTACACCCCCAATCCACAATCTAAAGTTCTGTATGGTACATTAAGAGTATGGTACCGCACGGTACTGTTTGAGCATGGTGCCATACAGTGTTCACAGTTCCATACAGTACTGTTTTAGTCTACAGTACCTTATGCTACCATATTTCATGCTACCATACTGTATCCAAAATTTCACCATACGGTACTGTTGGAGATTAACTGTGTATTGTATTGTATTGTATTGTATTGTATTGTATTGTATTGTATTGTATCAGGTACATAACATTCAAGTTTTGGATATGTCAGCAAATCAACATGATATTTTCCATTTGGGAATATTTGACTCTTTTAGGCTGGCATGCACATAGTTCTTTGTTCTTTCATGCAACCTTTACTGTGGTTGTATACAAATGCAACCTGTCACACGAACATGTTTTTACTTTCCTATACAAGACAATACAAATATTTCAGAATGTTTTGATTTCATTAAAGCAATGGTGTTCTCTGACAATACTTACTGCCTGATGAAGACAGAATATAAATACAAAAAATAATAATTATATAAAAAAATATTTTTGCAACATTTTGTCCTCAGATTTGAAAAACAAAGCTTTAGGGATATTTTTTATCTAAAATTTGTTTTTTAAGAGGATTGCCCAGAAGCATGGGCTCTCCTCTCTATAAAAGTACATGATATTAGAGAGAGAATTAAATAATTTAGAGTTGTTTATACTAGTAAGTGCGTTTGACGGTTATCATGGGAAATGTCCAGTTTTGTCTAGAATAGGGATATTATATTTGGACGCTGTCACCATGTTTGCTTCCAAGTTCTGCATTTGCTGAACATTATGTCTTTTTCAAGTCCCATTGGGTATAGTGCATTACCCTGAAAAAGGAGGGATTCCCAAAGGAATATCAAGAATCAAATTGACTTTCATGCATTGATTGATAGACCTTGATCTTCTATTGCTTAGTCTTGACTTGTGTCTGAATTACCTTGTATTGACTCTCTGTGATGCCCTGCATTCCAGCTTTAATCTCTCTTCAGTGTTATAGGCTTACATCATCGTAGTGTCTTTAGGCCCCAATACCTGCTTCAATTCCAGATGTGAGACTGTTCGGGGAGAAGGAGGGAAAGTATTTGTACCAAGATTACCAGTGTTTTTGATAGGAATGTTAATGTTGGATGAAGGAAGACATGGTCAGTCTTGGGTCAAATCTTCCCCCCCTCCCATTATCTGCTTCACCTCCAGAGTTGATGGTGTACAGACACCTTGCATGTTGATAATGCCTTGTATGTCTCATGGTTTAGTCAAACCATCTTGATTGAAATATTCTGCAACAATGCCTTGAGACTGGAAACACAAAATGCTGTACGAACGTTTCAATACAGTTCAATGTAAATGTACTGAAATTACCCAAACCTTATTAGACATCATATTAAACTGACAATTATGTTGCCTACATGGAATAGAAGGACTTCACCGCCTGATTGGAGTATTAGTCATTTCACGCCTGAAGACTGTTGGAAATTTTTTCAGGAAATATTGCGTTTTGTAATTAAAGAAATGCCAGAAGGGTGTATTATGTATTTGCAATAGAGTTACCCATGAATGTGGCTGATCATCTGATTAAAAGGTTGATTGTCTGATTGACAGGTTGATTGATTGATTGAGAGGTTGATTGTCCAGTTGAGAGGTTGGTTGTCTGATTAAAATGTTGTTGTTCTATCGTGATGTTGTTTGTCTAATGGAGAGGTTGATTGTCTGTTGAAAGCTATATTGTCTGATTGAGAGGTTGATTGTCTTATCAAGATGTTGATTATCTCATTTAGAAGTTGATTGTATTATTGAATGACTGATTGTCTGACTGAAAATGTATTTCATACACATTTTTAGCTCACATGAGTCCACTTGTTTTTGTGAAAGCACATTACAGTTAAATAATCAAATCATCAAACTATAAATGTCCAATTACAGTATCATATTGAGATATATTATATTACGCTGTGTAAAAATCATACATAACTGTTGTTATTAAATCGTAACAATTTCAGTGTATTACACGTTGTAAGAAATTGATAAAGAGTTTGGATAATTGGCAAGCAATGTACCAAAATAATAACAATCAATTTTGTCAAACTCAGGTCATTCGTTGTTCAGATCCAAGCCGTGTTTATAAACTTAGAATGCATATACCATTGTGGGATCCACGGTCTCAATTATACCTTCAGCCTTTGACCAAGGGTATTCTAATGCTTTCATAAATTCTTAGCGAGGCCTGATCTTGAAGGATGCTGCTATCCCTTGAAATAGAGAACTTAGATAAATAGAGACTCTGATAAAACAATGTACATATATACTGTTAGATGAGAAAAATTAAATCAGTATTGTTTGTTTGGGCAATTTAACATGAAATATAAAATGTCCCATGGTTTTGCCCCGTGGATGGTGATAACGGTTTCTGAATGATGGGGGGGGGGGGGTAGAGATGTTTTTTTGCCACAGTAATTCTTATATATATGGATATCATTGCTGCATAGGGGTTGTTTCACTATGGTCACATGCATTTATTTTATGATTCTGATTATATTTCTTTTTATTATGTCACTACCACAAGTGGTAACATTTTGATATGATCCCCAACTTTTTTACTGCAGCAGTTGGGGTTGGATGGTGGGTGTTTGGTATTCAGCATCTGTAACAAATGGCAGGTGGTGGTTAATGCCTTTTATTATCTTCTGTTTATCCTTCTGGCACGTGACACTTATATATTCATCCAAGAAATTTCTGTGGAAGGGTCGTCTTTTAAATATTGTACTTGACCGATCTTCAGATTAGAATATATTGATTGGCTGGTAGTATTTCGATCAAAGCCATGAATGTCTGAATCATTCCTTAGAGTTACTCTTGGTGCTTGACCACTGACTAGTCAGCCTTTTTGAATACATTGACTGATTATTTAACTCAATGATATGCTCAAGAAGTATCTAGTCTTATTGAGTATTCTGCATTGACTCCTTGCTCCCTACTGGCTCCCTGGTCCTTGTGATAAGCTATGTTTATGAAGTGGCCAGTGTTGGGCAGTTATGCATGTTTAATGAGTGAAGGCCTGACTTAGACCAGGAATGGGAATATGATTGAGATTTACTGGTGGATGAACCCAGCTGATCTATGGTCATACTGCAAAATATGTTCATTGTGTTAACATTGTGTTAAAAAGGTCCTAATTATGCTAGCAGGTTGTTATTTAATTATTTTACCATTGATGTCAATGGGCAATATTTAGAAGTATTACATACCCACACTACCCTACCTCGATAGCGCATGCGCGAATTTTTGGGCTTTCAACCACGTCGCTTTTGAGTATTTCGACTGCTTAGTCAAAAGGTTAATACGTTTGGTGCTCGGAGTGAGTCAATATTGCTATTCGCTTAACTTTAGTGGTGCAATAGTGAAGTCCATGTTCCAAGTTATATGATAGTTGAAGAAAGAATGTAAATAATATCGTTTTAAATTTTAAAATATTTGATATGTCATAGTACACGGTACACAGATGCAAAAGTTGATCAATACAGGGTACAAGGAATGTAAATTGCTCAATAGTACAGGGAGCGAGAAAGTAAGCTGATTATACAGACATACTATGTCCCGATCTCATGTACATTTACGTTGGAAACAGTGAAACTAATGCTAAAAAGGCCGCCTGTTGATGCTTTGAGGTGTCATCAATTGTTATTTAATCCAAATAAAGTAAACATTATTTTGTAGATTTAGACACTGGCTTTCAGGTCGTATACTAGTATGCATTTTAGTCATTAAAGAATGCTAGATTATACGTGTTACTAGGGTATCAATTTAAAATGAAATAATGAAATTAAATATGAACACGTTAATGATAAATGACTATCCGCTATCAGGATTAATGACTATCCGCTATTCAGAATAATTAAAATTGCCTGAACTACATGTAAAGAATCGTTCTATATAATCCTTGAATGGTCTAATTCACTACCGTCCTGAAAAAACTATCATTTAAAATATTTTGTTCAAAATATACCATGCCATGACTTGAGAGCATTTTGTTCTTCACGATTTGCTGTAGCGCTGATATGACATCGTATTTCTCTATAATTGTAAAAAATCTAATACCAGATCGATGTAGTCTTATATGACGTGTTGAATGTCAGATGTTTTTGGATGGTATCTGCTCCAGTGATTTTGCATTTAATCATTAAACGCTGATCACAAGACACCTCGAAACAAACATTATCCTCTTTGTGACAATAGGAAAAATGTTTCACAACATGTTATGCCTTACGGCAAAGTAAAGATACATTTCTGGGACGACGTTTTTTGCATCTTAAGATTTTAGAAAAACAATTAATTCACAAAAATACAGTTGAATAACATACTGGAAAACGTATCCACATATAACACGATGACACGCAGTTTAAATAACAGTTAACTGTTTTTTGTTACATATCAATGTAACATTTTCGAAGGGAAACTTACATGCTCCCTGTACGTTGATAGATTTACTGAAATGTATCGTGTATTGCATTGAGTTTTGCTTCACTGCGCCCACTATTATCTATCTTTGCCTATAGTGGTTTTTTGCCAACAATATTCTACAAACTGCTTAATTAATCAATTCTATGTCTGGTAGAATACTAGAAATAAATATAAAATGTATTTTACGTTCAGAAATATGGAATTAAACCCACGTCCTCCATTTGCAACTTAGCTGTACCCTGTTTCCCTTTTAAACGTGGTCACGTGGTAGGGTAGTGTGATACCTAGCGAAGCATTTGTATGGAAGTCAATGGGAAAGTTAGCGAGCTATATCCACCGATATTGCCCGATTACCCCGATATAGCCCGCTTACCTCGTTTTGATATTAGATTTCTTTAATAACCATGATAATATCATGACGTCACGTCATTGATACAAAGTAACCATGGGAACAAAGGCATGTAATACATCAGTTATGTCACTATGACGTGAAATATGCCTTTGTTCTTGCCCAAATATAGAGCCTCCCAAGGTCGGCCTATATTGGGAGAACTCAGGCATATTTCACGTCATAGTGACATAACCTCTAAATATTGAATTCAGCAAGGCATATGAATACTTGAGAAATCAGGAGTTATCTGGTTGACTCTTGTAACCAAGAATTATTATATTTTGCATTTCAATATTTAGACACTTATTTTCGGTAATAAATGTAGAAAATCTTAAGTATAGAATCAGTATAAGTCGCATCCCCAGAGTCTTGACCACTTAAATTCATCAAATTAAAACCATATTGAATTCTACTAATTCCAGTAATGCCAGTAATTTTGTTATGATACATAGCACGTCACCATGGTAATGCTGCCCAACAAATGTAACTTAATTATTATGTAATTCATCTAATAATTCCATTTCATACATTGGCGTCTAATGGTTTGTTCTGACCAGATGAATATTGTTTAGAATCGATGGTTGGTCACTTCTTGTAAATACTTAGTGAAAAAGCCTGCTGAATTGTACTCAGAGTAAAAATGGAACTTTGTAAGAGGAATAAATAAAACATGGATAAAGGGACATGGAGACATGAATAAAGCCAATATTAAAATATCTGAAAACCATTCGAAGACAATGGAATACATATAACACCTACCTCTGAAAGATATTGAAACATATCAGTTTTCAAAATTATTGAAACAAATTTTGTTGATGAGATTGATTTTTAGAAAACAAGAATTAGATGGAATTGTTACAGTTTGCAGTGAACAGTGACTTCCTTGCGGGACTTTTAAAGGAATCTGAACGCAAATGTATTTGTCATTATCATAGGTATGAATGAGGGAATGTTGAGGAGACTTTGTGGATCAAACGTACTAAGAATATTGTATTTATAATTACGAATATGACAGGAAAATTATAAATATTATTATAAATAACTTAATAGCTTTAAATATAGCGATGATAAATCAGTGTTTATTACAGACTTAAAAACATCAGTTGGCTGGTTCAAACATTGACGAAGAACAATAAATAATGCATATGTATGATCTCGTACATATGTGTTGACTCAGAACTGGGTTAAAGATCTAGATCAAAGAACCATGATAATTTTTCTTTTTTTTATGAGAAATGGGTTCATTCCTTTCAAACACAAAATTTCTTATATTGCATATTTCAACTGTCAATATCGTGCCCAGTTACAAGGCATATAACTCAATTCTGTCGTCTATGTGGTCGTTTGACTTGAAATGGTAATTGATTTGCTACATAAAAAAACTATCCAATACTTTGCTATACAAAGTTTTATCTCGCTAATTGCTCAGTAAAGACAAATGATCAATGTGTGTATCAGTCCCTTAGAAATATTAATCTAGAATAGAGAATCAACACGTAGGGCTGAATGGCAGCATTGTTTTTATGTCAGCACCAGAAGTTGTGTGACATATTGTTATAGTCTCCAACTTTTTTTGTGGATGGTGGTCGGTGTTCGCTCGATGGTGACATTTTGCATGTTAATACCTTGTACATATTGCCACAGGGTGATAGGAAGTTGTGCAAGGATTTTATGGACAATTTCAATGACCACTACAGTGACAAAGAATAAGAACACTTGTATAACCCTCAAAAACAGAGTACTGATATCCCTATCTGGACACTGTTGGAGAGAAAGAAAGAAACCATGGTCAGAAAGGCAACCTTATGATGGTCATTGTAGAGAGGTTTCGAACAATGTTCTTAGCTCAATGTATCTACTCCACCCTCACTCAAAATTAGCTCATTTGTTTTAGCAACCATTTCAGAGATTTTTAGAGATTTTTATGCTTCTCTGAATGCCCTGTTCATCTTCCATCATTTATATATGTGTGGTAAGATTGTAAATTCTTTTAACGCACCAACATTTTGGAAAAAGCCATTTATTTGTGAGGCATAATAATGGAAATTAGAAATAAATCATCTCCAACTTAAAACACAATACTTAGTCAACATTGAAGAATTGGAAAAGGATCGTTTACGTGAAACAGAGCTCTTAAAAGGAAATCAAGCTTCTATCTAATTTGAATACAATCCAAACCATAACCTAACAAAAAATATCTGGCTCTGTATATGTATATAATTCTCCATCTTGAGTCTTACTATACATATGCATTTCTAAATTATGTGGTTTTCTTGTCATGGGCGTTGGTCAGGAAAGAAAAGAGTGAACATTTGAACACTCAAGAATATTTTGCGAGGATCTTGTATGATTAATCGAGGAAAGGGCTCGCGGACAAGGTGCATTTTTTTGTTCTCTTTATTGGTGAACATTGATTGGCAGTATCAAGTTACAGAATCTAAAACTTAAGTTATAATCATCTTGGAGGCTACGAGTTACTGAATGTAATGCTGCGTAAATTGGAATGAATATTCAGAGTAATGGTATATTTTGTCAGTGATGTTTGATCGTCAAAAGTTCTACAAGCTCATAGAATGCGTCGGTAATATTGAGCGTTAGGAGGTTCTCTGTTTGTAATAACATACACAGTTTATTATTTTCTAACAGGTAAAATACCAAAATATGGTGGCTGTAATCTTGTATTAAAATACCAAATGAACGAGAAGAGAGTAGATTTCGCAAGGATTAAAGAGAATATGTATTCTCTTGATTGTTGAAGTTGCAGAAAATTAGACACTTTTTGATAAGATTTTCAGAGAAAATGAAATGCATAAATAAGAGAAAGACAAATGCAGCAAGCTTGAATTGGTATAATGGAATAATCATTTATATCATAGGTTTTGTCGAAAACCTATTTTTATTTAAATAGAAATCCTCATCTTTATACATAAAAAATTAACCAAAATGCAATTTTTCAGAGATATAAAAGACAGGACTGTACTAAAAATCTATGAGAAGGACAAAGATGGAGTGTTCATAGAGACGTTGAAGGACAACACATCACCAAAGACACGACTTACAGAAGAGCATTATTTCTCAGACTCAGAAACCATGCCAACCAATCGTAACACAGTGGCTCCCCCTAGGAGTAGCCAGTATAACCAAGTACAAGTAAGTCAGGAACATCCCTTTAGCCTTTAGTCATTGGTGTGAACTTTAGTCATAAGTGTGAAAGGACTAAAACATTGAATGTTATATGTTTTTTACTTACATCTAGGAGTACAATATAACTCTAAAAATAACAGATTTACATTAAGTTGACATCACTAATATGTTAGACTGGGGAGGTGATAAGGAACAATCTTTCAATCAACTTCTAAATCAGAATATCAATCAATCCCTCAGTTACTCAACTTCTCAATTGGACAACAAAACAACCAAACTTAAAATCAAGCAATCAAGCCCCAATGATTCAATCAATCAATTGATTAATCAATCAACCTCTTCCTTCTGCAAGGAGTTAATATTGAATAGGGAGATATGCACATGAAAAAGTATTTCTTACCTAGCTACAAGCACCTGTGACCCCCTCCCACTATATGAGTACCGCACCTTCTCACACACTTGTGGGAGCTCGAGATGTGTAGTGGGGGAGTGGGGGGGGGGTTTGCGCTCACAAGAGCTTGTAACTAGACCTAAGTATTTCATGACATGGACAACATCCTTCAGTTATCAATTCAATATAAATTTTACTATTAAGACAATTAATTGTTAAGAGATGCATTAATCAGTCCATTTAACTCAACACAGATTTTAGATTACTTCAATGATTAGTGTTGCTTGATTGGTAATGAAGATTTATGTTATCATGTACTTAAGGTACCTATATGGTTTTTACATGTTATTTAGAGATAATATTATTATTAACTAGGGATTATGTCCAGTCATTAACTGTTGTGGAAAAAATGAACTTAGTTTTGTTAGGGGGAGGGGTTGATGTTGATTTCATTAATTACAAATGTTGGATTTTTTCTAAAATATAAGTGATAGACAAATAAACATTTTCCAATTTTTGAATAACAAAGAAGGAGGATTAAACTAGAATACTTTATTTTGCACTTTTTTGTATTTTGTAGTAGAAAAATATTCATTAAAAATTCCATTGATCAATACAAGGCCAGAGTTTTTATTTACCTTCCAGCAAAAGTATTGGGTAAATTGGAAATGTATTCATTTAATTATAAAGATCTAGAAACTGTATGTTATCAAGAAATCAATTGTTCTATTGGCCTGGTACTCTAAGCTTTAAATGCCCTAATACAATAAGAGTACAGTAACACCTGCATATATTGTTCACTAGAGACAGGTGTTTACTAGAGAGAGGTGTTCACTAAGACAGGTTTTACTGTATAATTTTTTTGAGAGACTTGGCTTACATTCTTCCATAAATACCTATCCTTTAGAATATATATTTACCCTGTTCAAGATTCATTTTGTCATATACTCTTAGGATTACTAATAAACAACTGACCTTGTTGAGCAAATCAAAACCTGCCATTGCCAAAGAAACTTGCCATAGTTGAAACCCCTTTCTGGAAAAATTGACTGGAATATACTGACCTCTGAAATATTGAAACTGAATATCATAACTAGTAACCGAATGCTCATATGGCTGATCATAGTGTTTTGTATTTCCGTCAATTTTGTAACTTGATTGTTTTTCTACATGCAGATATCAGTATATTCCTTAATGGAACCCTTGATTTATTAGATATTAATGTCAGAAATATAGACTGTTTTACTAGTAAAATCACTCTAATATTGATGGAGGTATAGCTGTTATCATCTCAGATAACCAAGTTATGGAGTTTCATAAACTGGTAAGTGGGTATGAGCTATCATTGAGAACAGTTATGATCCCTCATTCATTGTATTATCCCTCATTCATGATATTATTCTTCGTTTATGATATTATCCTTCATTCATGATATTATCCTTCATTCATGATATTATCCCTCACTCATGATATAATCCCTCATTCGTGATATTATCCCTCATTCGTGATATTATCCCTCATTCGTGATATTATCCCTCATTCATGATAGTATCCTTCATTCATGATATTATCCTTCATTTCTTATGATCACTGGCAGACGTGGTTGTTTCATGCTAAATAAAAAATATTTTTAGCTCATTTTCAATTGAAAATTAGGGCCTGTTCTACCAAAAAGGCCAATTTTTAATTAGGCCTATGTTTAAAAATGGGCCCAAATGAAAAAATGTATGAGACCTGACTGCGGTGATTGTTACAATTTAGTACTATGTAATCTGAACATGTACCTGGTATAATACTTGTATTTTGTTTTTAGGTTAATCGTAAAAGTGAGACCTTGCCAATGAGCTTCCGAGATCCAATATATGATGTGCCCAGGAGTCAAGCAGCCAAGAGTAGCACCCTCCAACATATGGCACCTCCAGGGCGAGGAAGTGCTGCTTCCTCACCCCAGCGGTCTCCATATCGACCCTCGGGACTCAATATTAGCGCACGTAAGTTTGGAACAAGACTCTTAAAGATTTATATGTCAAAGCGTATAGGAGATTATCCCCAAATTGAGTATACTACATTGTAATGTAGGCTCATTTGACTGGAATTGAAGTTAACAGGGATGTTTTTGATGATCATTGTCCAATTAAATGGGGTTAAGTATCATCTGGGCAGTAGTATCATCGGTAATCCATAAGCCAACTTAAATGCCCAGGTCCCTTGTTATTTTTTGCAATTGTCTGTTTGTCGGTATTTAAAAAAGTTGTGTCAATTATTCAAAAAATTACATAGGATGTTCCACTTTTGAGATTAAAATTCAAAATTGCTGACTTTGGAAAGATAATTTAAAAGCCTACAACATTGATTCCTTGAAATAATCCCATGGGCCGAAGATAGAAAATACCCCTGGGAATGTATCCCCTGTGTGATAATTCAGAATAAATAGAAAGTAGACATAAGATACATGCGAACAAAGAGATATTTCAATAAAACATGAGTTTTGCGGTGTAAACGAGTCAGTCTGATGTAATGTATCAAGATTGATGACTGATCAATATTAGACTGGTAACTCAACACAAAATATCATGAAATAGTCATCATCCTCCTCGATTCAAAAATACTTGTAGTGGTGACAAAACCAGAAAATCATTAGATACATCAAACTAAATCATTAGGTACATCCTGAAAGTTGGGCTAGGGGGAATGAATCGATACAAACGGGCAAAAACTGGTTGTATATTTTTTATGGTGATACATAGAGTATGTAGTGCAATGAAACCATGAGTGCATGATGTTGCATACGATAACACTAACATAAGTAGATATGCATGATTTTGTTGAATCCAAATATCTAATGACAATTTATGAGGTATTTTGGACTACATTGTACATTCTCTATGCTTTAGCCAAGCTTCAGCATGTGTTTTATTTTAGGCTGCATTTTTGTTTAGAATATTATACAAATAGTGACTGCCATTGAGGGCAATAGTGTAAATTATTTCCCCGAGGGAATATCCTCTACAATGTACTATTCCCGAAGCCGCAGGCTTCGGGAATAGTACATTGTAGAGGATATTCCCTCGGGGAAATCATTTACACTATTGCTCGAAATTAGGCAGTCACTATTTGTTTTATTATATACCCTATGGCCTATACTGACTCTTGTCCCGTTTCCTCTGCGAAGGCCAAAAGGCTTAGAAAGCCCCCTCCCCGGGTCCATTGTTAGCATTATAAGCTGTGACGTCATCAGATGCTCAACAGAAATTTTTGCCTCTGAGACTCTCACTTGACAAATTCAATCGCGTTTAACACGCGGAATAGATTATCACAACACTTAGAATTACACAGACGTATTGAGCTTAGGGAACTTTATACACGTTGCTTATATTGTATCGTTACTGCACGTCTGTCATGGTGAACGAAGTTGATTTGTGTTTGTGCTCATCCTCCATTTTTCTGTTTTTTGTCTGCGCAGTGATGATGCGCAGACGTTTCCAAGGGTAATAGAACTTGCAATTGTGACGTCAGCGGGCAATAGTTCAAATGTATATTCCCGCTGACGTCACATTTGAGGGAATATAACTTTCCGAGGGAAATAGTAAATCTATTTCGGAACACGTGACTAGGTATTGACCAATCAGGATTAGTGTTACATATTGGGTATATAATAAATATATATATGTATTGTTGATTTTGGCTTTTAAATAAGTTAATCATCCATTTCATATGTTTTGTTGTATCGTTTAACATGAAACAGTTGTGATTTATTAATAAAAATACATGGGCCATGCTAGGTTAAATCTTAACAGCAAAAACCTATCAAACTTGATGTATTGCTAATTTCATAATGAATATCATCAATTAAAAGCTCATTAACTGTTGTTAATGTGATATTTATCATCCCTTAACATGTTAAGTACACATTATTTAATCACATGTGTCAATTTATATTTAGTATCACCTTGGTAACTTATTGTTGTATTTCTTTACTTTTATTATTTTTTATTATTTCAATAGTGACTAAAAATACCTCATTATACCTATTGTCTGCCTATTTGTTTAGTTCATAAATATTTATTTGTTGTTTAGATTTGATGACTGGTGCATGTTGTTGCTTAAATTTTAAATGTTGTTGCTTAAATTATTATTTTATTATAGTTATGGACATTGCCAATATTATCCACACTGTGCCCTATCGAGGTAGTCGGATGAACACGTTAAGCGAAGGTTGGATTCTTAGCCACATGCTTTAAACTCTAAAATATCACTGTGTGTTTAGGCTATATGTCTCCATTTTTTCTAAAATCCTCCAAATATTTGGCCCAAGATCATACCATAACCAAGCAAGCAAACAAAATACATTTCTTAATGATGTCAGAGAGTAATATTCTTTTCAATCATCTGATTTTGTTTCTTGAGAGAGAGAGCTTTATCCTGGGGGGTTCAGTCTAAATAATTTGGGTAGGTATGTGCAGCAAGGGAAATTTTGGCTTGGGGCATAAATCATGGAACCTGGCCAATCTGAGAGGAAAAAAACATGGAAAATTTGTCGAAGAGAGAGATGTAAGCTTTTACCAGTTGCTCAGATGAACATCAATCAATGACTAACATTCACCATACTGCTTCCCTGTAAAACCTGGTTCACTGCTTGGGCTGGCAAAAGTGTTCTCATTTAGATGCTATGAGAACACATTTTGATTTAAAGTTTACTTGTACTGATTGTACAGTAATCTTGCTTCAAGATGTATCCAGGCATTTGAAGATGATCATTGATGAATTTCAACTTTCATTTACAATAGACACTTCATGATTTAAAAAACATGGGCCTGTATTTGGAGGATTACATCGTGTGGTAATGAAATATGAAAGCTAGGGTTGTGGGGCGAATCACAAATGGTTTAAGTCTAAGGGTCATGGTAGCTGGAATCTGGTATAAGCTGTGACTTTGGATATAGGACGAGGTGTATAATGCTTTTTAACATCCCTTAATATCACTGTGTATTATGTATAGTTAATGGAATTTCAACCTGACGTCCTTGTGTCATGTGTGTTCTCCACTTCTTAAAATCATATATTGTACTCTAATTGTAATCCTCAGTGTTGAAAATCATCCTTTTATTTGCTTATTTTAATTCCTGTGTATTTTTTTTCCTGGTGCTCCAAAATCACCATTTATACGACCTCAGAGCTGAGGGGTGAGCTACATCTGTTGCTTTGTTTGACACTTCTAGGTGATAGGATATTGCGTGTATCTTTCTATCAAAGTATCTTTAATTTCTAGATATGCTATGTGGGTTTGCTTTGTTTGTTGTGTTGTGTTGTTTTGATTTTAAAGGTATTAAACCTCTCATATGTGTGTGTGCATATTACCCTGTTTTGTTGTTATACCATATAACCTTTTAAAATTTTGGGGCTTTATTCTGGACTTGGCCCTGAATAACCAAACAGGGACTTTGCCCACTTGGGGAGTTTGACTTATCTGAACATCAGATAAGCTTAACGTTTTTACTTGTGGAAGCAGAATCTTCAATTTTTTGTTCTAAATATTTTTTCATGATGAACCAGCAGAAAAGGTTCTTAAATAATATAAAGCATGTAAAATCCCTGTCAAACCATGTAACATGTATTTATGCATGATGAATATAACTTTAGCCGTAGCACATTTTGTATCATCCAAATCTTATAATGTATAGCCCAGATTCATTAAGAATGCATGCTGTGTACTGTATTTCATGAGGAAAATTCATCATATTTGATATTTTGCAACATGAATTTAATCATTGAAATATAAATATTTTTCAGCATACAACAGTCCAAACCAGCGCCACTCAATGTCATACATGCCGGCATCATCAGTTTCTGAGCCTATCCCAGAAAGCCGTTTGACCCAGAGTCGCAGTTACCATAGTTACACTGAAAGTGAGGCCAATGGACAGAATGGCCACCAGGAAGTATTGTCCAAGTCTGGTAGCACAACCCCAGTTATAGTGGATGGTGAAGCAGCGTAAGTTCTTTGAGATTGTGAATGGCTATTGACCTCAAAAATGTTGTATATTGAACATGTCTATAAAAAACTAAAATGACCATAGTACAGGGTGTTCCAAAAGTAACAGGACTGGTGCTAGCATTTTGTACTATGCAATTTTGTAATGGCAATATGTCGAATCAAATCCACATTGATGTAGTGTGTCATGTTCACATGTGTCATGTCATATATACATGTGGTGTGTCATATATTCCAGTCACAGAATGGAGAAAATGGAGGCTCAGTTGGCAAACCTTACCCATTGGGTCCAGACTGCCGTCATGAAAGGGAGCTTAGATGGCAGTCATCCAGGCAGTCGTACAAGTCTCGCATCAGAAAGTTCTTTCTCGACTCGAAGCAGTAAGTTCACTACTTCGATACATAGTAACAAATTACATGAAATTTACCTTTATACCAGCTTCAGTGGCTTAAATCCAAAGCCTTTTGCTTTTCAAGTAATTGTTTGCATATGGTTTGTGGAGTTTAAAACATGCCTGACATTTACACATCTACAAGTAGCCAATTTCCTCATCAATTCTATGGAGATGGGGGTATGCATGGCTATTTATGTATACTCTTGTATCGAGCCACTGGTCCCTTTACTTACTTTCAAAGCAGATGTGTTGGGAGAGGGCGTGTTACAGAGAGGGTATGTTAGGGAGAGGGCTTGATGCAAAACTCATAAATTTTCTGATTTGAGTAAAACTTACGAATTATATGCAATCAATAAGTTCCAACACTAACCTAAATTGAAGTGAAGTTAATAAATATAACAAGTAATTTCATTTGTTTTAATTGTATTTTTAAATATGTTATTAATGACATTTTCATTTGTTTGACATTAATTTTATAAGGGAATATTACCCATGGGATGTAATTTATGATTGGTATCATAACATCCTTATAACTTTTAACTTTCTTGTTTTCTGGACTAGACTGGTCCATACAAAGATATTGTTTTAAAGTCAATGTCTTCTTCATTTGGGATATTTTGGTTGGCTATTTTTGGAATTTTGGCAATTTATTTTGTTCTGTATATAGTTGCATATTATGGCATGATCCAAAGGTTTTCACTCTCCCTTTGTTTTCATAAAGGTCTTGGTAAAATGCTTTTGCATATGGTTACTTTATCAATATATTGAAAATCTTGAGTAGAAAACTTTGAAAAGTCGCTAGTGAGAAATGTTCCTAAAATAGTGGTCATACAATGGAATGAAACCATAAAGGTTTTAAACAAGGGAACCTTGGTATTCACTAGAAATACAGGTCTTAATATACGCTCATTATCCCAACGAACGAAGTTCGGTAGGGATATAGTGAAGCCCTCCGTCCGTCAGTCCGTCAGTCCGTCAGTCTGTCAGTCCGTCAGTCCGTCAGTCAGTCCGTCCGTCCGTCCGTCCGGAAGATAACTCAAATATTATTAGACGGATTTTCTTCATTTTTGGTGGAAAGATGTATATTGATGAATAGTTTTACGCAAAAAAAAAATTTTTCAAGATGGCCGCCGCTTTAAAAATGACGGGACTTTTTCATAAAAATCATAAATTTTTCATTCTAAACCAAAGCAATTAATATTATTGTTTGAAATTTTGGTAGTATAATAGCAACATCTATTTATTTTACATATATTCCGTGATTTTCATCCTAACCCCCAGGGGCTGTGTATGGGGGGTCAGGAAAACAGAAATTTTCGCTAATTTTTAGATCTTTCTGAAGTATAGCTTTATTATACTCAAATGAAAGGCAATTAAGAGTAGATTGCAAATATTGTATTTTTTTCTGATTGGAGCCTCGTAAAATTCAAAATGGCTGTCTAATGTACGATTTCGCAATCATTTTTCGATCCCTTCAAAGTATGGCTATATTATACTCAAATTGAAGGAATTTTGGAGTAGATCACAATTATGCTATTATTTTTCAGATTTGTACCTCAGAAAATTTAAAATGGCTGCTTTGCAGGAATTCGTAATTCTAAAATCTAAATTTTTCAATTTTAACCAAAGTAATGAGTATAATTGATTGGAATTCGGTAATTGATATTTTGTTCGTTGGGATTTGCTACTCCGCGGAGTTGCCATTATCTAGTTATATGTCCTTAAAATGCTCTTAATATTGACATGTTAATTATAATTTTGTTTATTTCCGCCATTACAAGTGAAATTAATTGTTAAACAATTGCTCTTGCTCTGTTATGCTTGAGTTAACGTGTGTTAATTATGGCAAAATTCAGACAGTACATGACACATTCACCTTCCAATTTCAAATGTCTCCCTGGTTTTGATTTCTCCATTTTTCCTTATAAAAGTGAAAAAATGGTTGGATCTGTTACAGTTACATGCACATACAGTTCCACTATTAAGTGTGGATGATGATTATATTCTTTCGTGCTGTAAAAAACTGTTTGTGTAACCAATTAATGTTAAATGTCAATTTACTAGTTTGTTTACTTGTTTCATCGTTTCTCTATTGTAAAAGTCACTGGTCCTGTTGAATTGACAGCTGATTCCCTTGGTGTCTTTTGATGAGTATACTTATCAGGCCCATAGCCAGGGGGGTTCGAGTGAACCAGTGATTTTAGGCCAACATCGTCAGTTGTGTATGCTACTTATATGCTACACAGAATGTTGTGTTATGTGTAGGAGTATTTTATTGAACATTAATTAATAACATATTTTTGTTTTCGATGTGTGTCAGTTTTGCATCAATAAGCCCCACCGTGTTATCCCTCTTCCAAGCCCCTCACCCCAACCTGCCCCTCCCCCGCCCTTTTCCAGAAGCTCTCCTCCCTACCTCACACATAACTCTTCCAGAAACACAAGTTGGGGTGTAATGTGTTACATAGAAATATCCCCTTCAAACAGCCAATTCGATGTACATGTATACATGTAAACCAATCAGACTAGATCTTTCTATGTCTATGGGAAGGGGGAACAGAGGTGATCAATGACCAGGGACATGATGCAAGACTAAATTAACATAAACTTTATACTAATCACCATTTGCCTTATTTCAGAGTCGGACCACAGTGTGCACAGTGGCACAAAAGGTACAAAGATATCCTCTCATAGGCTAACATATTGAAAATAACTCTTCATCTTTATATAGATGGTGTATGTGTAGTAAACGCCAGTCTTTATTGATACCTCTGTCGGCCTGGCATGGTGGTGGTCCTGGTTTCTTATTTATTTATTTAAGTTTTATTTAAAGGGAAGCTTACAGGGACATTAAGTGGTAAAGGGAAATTTAGGAGCACTAACTTGAGAGGGGGAACTTAAAGGGATACTGACTTGAGAGGATAACTTAAAGGGACACTAACTTGAGAGGGGGAACTTAAAGGGACACTAACTTGAGAGGGGAAACTTAAAGGGACACTAACTTGAGAGGGGGAACTTAAAGGGACACTTAATTTGAGAAGGAAAAACTTGTTTTCAGGGATACTTGATTGGAGACACCAACTTCAAGGAATGCTTAAAGGAACATTTACTTGAAGGGACCTTTTTGAAAGATTATTTAAGATCAAGATTGAACTCATGACAATTGACTATTTAGAAATTGGTAATGAACAAAAATATATTCTCATTTTCAAAATAGCCTTACATTTTTGAAAGAATGCCAGGGTCACCATGATATCCATGGCTTCTACTCAATAATCTGCATATGTGTACACAGGACATATATGTATCTATTGATCAGCATATGATTCGTACAATAAAGGTGAATTGAATAAGAACATTTTGGGAAAGAGAGGGTTCTTACCCTAGTTCTTAAAGGATCTTGTTTTGGATAATGAACAAAACTCAACTCATGCATATTTATTTGTAATCTCTAATTATTTATCCTTCATTGTACAATCATTGAAAAATTTACTAATTGACATCTTTCTCTCTTTAGCTTTATTGAACTATCGCCTTATGTGCATTTAGAATAGTATAAACGTATATGCATACACATGGCCCTTACTGCAATGTATGACTATGGTAATACAAATGCATTTTCCAGTAGTAACCCTCTTTCCAAGAAGTGCACTTCTAATATAATAACTCCTTATAATATAACTTCTGATATTATAACTCTATCCCAGAACATAAAATGGCTAACCACAATTTGGTGTGGCTATTAGCCACTATGTGGTTTTGATCCATGTTGCACTTACATGTACAAGGGTCTTGCAATAGTCTAGCTACAACCAGCCCCTGTAGCCCCCCTCACACTTCTTGACTACACATGTATGAAAATTTCTCTCACAAGGAGAGGTGTTGAGTGAGGGGGAGGGGGGGTGCAAAGGCTTGTAGCTAGACATCTCATTTGATGAGTACTTAATAAAACATTGTGTGATGATTTGCTGATAATATATTTTTTGTATGTTCTAAGATTTCTTAATTTATTTATATATATTTTGGCTGTATGTATGTGAATTGCTTTATTTGTCTCTGCTTCTTCTAGTGAGTAATGCCAGTACTTTAACTCCTACTATTTCGCGAGCTCTTTCGCCGCTACCTTACTCTAGACGTAAGTCTGTTAAACAAATGTTTCGTTTCTTGAGTTAGTTGTATTTGGTTGGCTTATTTGCATGTTAATGATGGCGCATACTCTTCCAGTTATTGTCTCTTACCTTGATCTGTTTCAGTATTGTCGTCAGACCTGTAGGTGGGGGGGGGTATTTCTTTCAAAATCATGCAGTTTTTCACCATTCTGACCAATTTTGGGCCAAAGTTGTCAAGTGAACCCCCTCTGGAATTTTTTGTATTTGTAAATGGTTTATTCGGATGCTCGAGAGACAATGATTGTGAAGTATTTAGATTTAGTTATCTTGGTAATTTGTTCTTTAAGACTTCTCGTGCAAAATGTGTATTCATTTTAGTAGGAAGCTTTATATATTGAAATGGTGAATGCTGTTTAGTATAGTGATTCTGGCTTTATTTTTATGTCACCACCAAAAGTCTCCAACTTTTATGTGGATGGTGTTTGGCAGTTGGTGTTTGGTACTCAGAGTTCAGTATCTGTAACAAATGGCAGGTGGTGACATTTTGCATGTTAATGCCTTGTTATGCATTGTATTTACATAGTACAAGTGCTATAGTTCTCTATCCTGTTTTGAACAAAGTTAATTACTTTTAAAATCTCATGATAGTAATTTTTGATAAATAGTTCATTACATGGATTGATAATGCATTGATCGTGCTTTGCGTAAGAAGAGAAACCTTGACTTATGCATAATGATTACATACAATTGAGATTAGTCATCTTTCAAGTTCAATATTTTAATCTTCCAATAATCAATGACATCCTTCAACATGTAATTTCTTAGCTGAACTTGGACAACATGAGGGATTTTGTCAAGATTTCAAAGTCATTTTATTATGGTACCTGAATGCTAAATTTTAATGGTAAATTGTCTTTTACTTGAATCTTTTAAAAATCACCAATGGAATCATCAATTACCACCTCCCCCCCCCCTCAAAGAAATCAGCCATATTTTACATTTTTGGGATTGTGTCAAAATTTCATATGGTTTAACCCATCCCTACCCTCTGTATGCTAAAATCTTAATATGTTAACTTTTCTTTTACTTGAATCTCAAAAATCACCACTGGAATCATAATTCAATTAATGACTCACTTTTTGGCCCCCTCCCCCAAAACAGCCATATTCTACAACTGCTGATATTTGGACAACATCCCTTGCTACCCTTATTATCATGTAACTCTTAATGATTATGTGTTTTATTGGCAGGTATAATCATGTATTTAATCACCTTAATTGCAAAAACAAGACTCGTACATTCACTTTGTCCCTAAATGGGTTCAACTTATCTAGTTCTAACTACAAAAACCAGACAATGTAATTTATCTTCAATTTTTTCCTTTGATGTTAGATCCTTTTCACCTTACATAAGCAAGCTTTTTTGTGAACCTATATCAGAATTGAGAATCGTATTTTTATTCCCTACGTATGCTCCAAAAGTCACAATCATGAGATTATTAAGATTCACATTAAATGATGAGAGTCTTGATGAATCCTAATCTGTAGAAAACTTATCATTCAGATATCATATGATCAAAGAAATGTGCTAAATACCATACAATCCCTGGAAAGGGAGATGTTTTAAGGCACAATAAATTAGCTTAACTGGTAAAAGCATACCTGATTGTACAAGTAAAAATGAAGATAGAAATAGCGAAACATACGTGCCTTCATGAGCTCTAGAAGTATAAAGGAATACATACAAAATGCTCATTTTGAATCTGAGTGAAGATGTCGGTTTATTTGGAATTACTACAGATTTATGGTATATGTTAAAATGCGAGTTCAGATTTAATCATTTTAAATGCATGTACTGTATCAGTCATTTGACTGTCAGTTTTCAAAGGAAGATGTCGCATGTATTGTAGGTGCATACATTAGGCTTAATTAAGGCAATATTTACATGTAATTTATAATTAATTATCTTTTCATTATTGCATGAGAGCATATTAACTATCTGTTTTTCAAAAGCATGTTTATGCAAGTTATGTATGTACAAGCAGCGTCATTAAGTTTACAGCTAAATATTCTGATTTCATTAAAGTACATGTATTAAATTGATTGTCTTATCTTTAGTCTTATATTCTAATTCATTTCATGTGTTTCTATTTCAAACTGTCCATTTTGAAAATATACTCTGTGTTTGTTCTTGGAGGGATCATGAATACTTTTTTAGTGTGAGGTAACTCAAAGTATATTTTCAAATAGGACCTATCAATCCCATAACTTTACATCATTTGATTACATTTTCATTCCTTTAGTTATATTTTGTGTATTTAGGTAGCTCAGACCTGTCTGGTTCAGCCGCGACTCCCAAGGCTCCTGTAAATGCACTGTTGACGATGTCAGGGAGAAATGTGAAGATGCAGTTAGGGGAACTACGCAGTGACTTGAACAATCTCCGGAAAGCCCAACAGTCGAATATGCAACACATGAAGTCATCAATACAAGACACTATACAAAAACTACAGGTATGGTATCCAATATTATCGTATGATCTGTAAAATGAAGCCTTCTGATTGGTCAGTTATTGTGCTGTACCAATCTGTATTGCTACTGAGATTGTCCCCACAGAGTCAAAGTGACATACAGTAAAACCTTTATATCGAAATAACTCTCTAATTTGAACAAAGTATCTTTACTGTACAAATTATCTGTGTGACCTATTATAAATGCATTCAGATCAGCGTGGAATTAATTCTTTACAGACAATTCGTTCTCAAATGAGCAATAATTTCTCATAAGAGAAACTGTATCCTTTTTTTTATGACAAGAGGTCATGTAAGGTTGCCCAATTTCTTTCAGTAGTTGTGTCATTTTCCTCTAAATGCTTAGATAATTTACCCCCTCTGATGCAAAAAGCATCTCATAAAGTTTGTGTCACCCCTAGATTTCAAACAAACATACATACATGTACTATAAAATCATATTTTTTTATAAGTTATAGGAATATCTTACATTTCAAAGTAAAATGCAGAAATAATGTTTCCAAAAATGTTTCCATTGTAGCGTGCAATATCTACGATCCCAACAAGAGACAATGAGGTGAATTAGCTTAGAAGTCTGCATGTTGCATGTCTCTTTATAAAACATATTGAAACTGAAAATATATTTATTAATTATAAACTCCCTTCAACACTTTTTGGAACAAATCAACATAGCCTATTTTTCCCTTTCAATGTTTTAAAATTAACATAGTTTAGGGGACATTTTTATAATGATACACAAATTATGTACATGTTAATATACAGTAACTAACATGAGTTATGGTATAAGGATAGATGCATGAAACACTTAGTTTAAGAAGTTTCACTTTTCAGAATTTACTTTTGGTAAAAATGGCAATATTAGTTCTTGAATTGGTAAAACAGTGTTATACGAGTGTCTTACTTACAAGGGTCAACCAAAAAGTCTTCAGATTTTTATCTCATTAAAATATTTTTATCTATTCTTTCTACATCTAATGTGTAACATTGAATTACTCAGATGCGAGTAGGTAGTTACCAGTTTCGCCACCAGGTGGCTGATTCGGGTGAAATAACATGGCAGGGTATTACAAAATTCCCTTAAACTTGAATATTCATCAGTTTTAGTGGTTCACTTTTCATATTACCCTTATGTATCTGATAGTTATACAAATTAAAATATGTCCAGTAAAAGAAAATATTATCTGCCCAACACAAGAAAAGATATTTTCATTTTTGTGATTTTACTACATGGGGGCTATGGGGAATCTCCCCGACCTAGAAGTCACATTTTCAAAGAAAATTAAATTTTCAAAGTTGATAAACTCTTTTCAAAACCACATTTCTAGATGTAATTTTACATGTAATTTTGAATTTTTAATGACGTAAATCAAGATTATTTCTACTCGCATCTAGGATATTATCCCAGATCATATATAAACACATCGTTATTGACTCAATAATCATACCACATTAATGACAGATTAGTCACAAAGGTGACCTAAAATTAATAAATGCATTATGTCTCAATAATTTTGAGCGACCCCCTTAACCCCCCCCCCCCCACTTCATCCCTCAATGGTTGATTGCAAATACCAGCATGATTCAAAGTGCGCTATATTCCAACCATGCACTATGTCGTAAGTAATGTTGCGAATCAGACATTATTTCTGAGGTGTGTAATATTACATGTTCTGCACTGATAAATACATAACATATAGCATGTCATCTCATCTTAATTATTAGTTCATTACTACTAGCTTTAATCATGTTTTTGTTGTCATGTTTGTCACGATTTGAAATGCACTTGATTAATCCCGAGGTCAAGGATCTTCCATATTTGTTTGGTTCACTTAGAACCGAAATTAAGGCAAAGTCTATGTCACCCCATAATATACTCATCCAGGCCTAAGACATGAATTGGAATTTTTGTGTTTTGCTAAATTCATTTATAAGGCTTTTAAAAAACCTTTTTCCAAGTTATATGGGATATGCAATATGTTATCGTAATTTGAAGAAATGATTGATAAATTAACACTTTTATGCTATTGATACCATCTTTATTGTTATTAATTGTTCATTGCATTTCATTATAGGTAGCTTAAAAATCATAAATTTTATATTTAAATGTTATCAACAAATATTTGAGCTAATTATGTGATGGTGACATACTGTTATAGTTTCCAAATTTTTTTGTGGACAGTTTTGGTGTCTGTCATTGTGTGTTTGGTGTATGGTATCTGGCATTTGGCATCTGTAACAAATGACAGATGGTGACATTTTGGCTGTTAATCCCTTGTAAGGTGAAGAATAAAATCAGAATTCATTGAAAGAAAATGTATTTATTGCACTTACAGGGGAATGGTTTATTTGTGCTTTCAGGGTGCTTTTTCAGTTGTTCCTGGTGCTAAGTCGCAGCCAATCAGGGCCCAGCGCAACAGAGTATCAGCAGAGTTTGATAGCTACAACCAGGAGAGAGCTGCTGTACAGAAACAACTTAGGTAACTGACCCCCATTATTTAATTAGGTTCATATATTGTATTTCCCTCAGATATACCCTGTATCAAAAACCTCCCATTAAATAACCTCTATATATCACATCCTTAGATTTTACAAAGTTCGAATCAAACTTCAGAGGGGCTTACATAAGGAAAACAAAAATGTCTAAGTTTCAAAAAATGACTAAAATCCAAGAAAAAATGACTAAAACTCAAGAAAAAATGACTAAAAATGAAGAAAAAATGACTAAGACCAAAAAACGAACAAAATTATAAAGATACAAAAAACAAAATCAAGTCATTTTACGCAAACACATTTGAATTATCATCTTTTATGTTCTTCCACATGCAATCTACCCCACAATATTTTGATCATTAAAATCTCCATATTTTCCAGCAATCTTGAAACAACGGTGGAGCAGCTGCGCAATGATGTCATTAACAAACGTTCCCGTGTTAACATGAATGATGTTGAAGGAATGGCGATGACACTGAGTCAAATCAGCAAACAACTTGCTTCATTAAAAGGTAGCTACCCTCTGCAAAAGCTTGACTATTTTGCACTCTTTAATTAAAGATTATTGATTGATATAACGTGTATTCAAAGAGGGGGCTGATATGCGAAGACATTGTTATTTATGATTCATATGTCACAACCAAGTGGTGACATATTGTTATGGTCTCCATTTTTGTGATGGCGGTGTCCCGTGTGTTGCATCTGGCATCTGTAAGAAATAGCAGGTGGTGGCATTTTGCACATTAATGCCTTGTATACAATTGTTTCTATTCTCTATATTTTTGAATATGTAGACTAATGTTACCATGGGAGCATCACATTTAGGAAAAAATAAATAATAATAATTTTAAAATGGTTCGCTATATTTAAATTTTTCACTGCAGGAAACTTCCCAGTGCTCCATGATAAACTGAAGGAGATCATGCAGGGAGAGATGGAGGTCGTAGTCAAGGAAGAGAAGTAAGATATAGGGCACTTCTTAGTTGAAATGGTAGATTTTCATGAAAAATGTGGAAAATACGTAAATTTGGGGGAGAGCGTGGGTACATTTCCCAGTGGGCTAGGGCAAAAAATTTTGGTATGTGAACTGTTTAGGCCGTTTGTAACTTGATTATTTAATGAGTTACATATGTCCACTTTAGACAGGATTTATTATGCTATGATGTAAATCTATTCATATTTTTTCATTTACTATGTCAACTTGTTTGTTTATTACATTTATGTAAATTTATTAGTGTCGATTCAACAATAATTATCAATTCATGTTGTTTACAGCCTTTTCTTAGGATTCTAATTTTGCTTTGCTTGATTTTTGTTACATATTCAGAATTTTTTTCTTTTTTTTATTTCGTTGGCATATATATTTGTAGTTGTTTCATATCTGTGCATTAAGCACTTTTTGTATCTTGCTTTTGAGTCATGCATAGAAATCGTGGAGTTGTACCAGAAGTAAAGTTACATGTACTCAAGTCTTATGCATAACCCCAAATTATGCCCCAACTAGTCTCAAGAGTCTCAATATGAAGGAAATAGAACAATACAATACAATACATTTTAATGAATACCAAGGTGATCTTTACCCTGCGCGCAGAGTCTAATTATGAACTACGAAGCTTACTCTTAAGAAGCGAAGTAGAACAGATGCAAAGGGGTGGTGATCTTTTTCTGGGACAACAATCACATGTTAGCATGCCTTTCTTTTTATGTTGTCTCTATATTCATATTACATCTTTGCAATGTTGTACGTTGGTGTTAGGTACCTGAAGGAAGAGCCCAACTATCTTGACAGTGACCTGAAACGATGTAAACAACTCACTGGAACTTTGTTTACTCTAAAAAGGTAAACCTGACTGGATGCATTTGTGTGAAAGTGTGACTTCTAGCATTTCAAATATGTCACCAATAGTGATAAAATCCCAATTATAACTGACACCAGAGAAAGTTACTTTGTTGTGCGTGCCCGACAATTTCCCGCAACTTTCAGTATAGAGCGCAACTTTTGCAAAATACGCAACTTACCGCGACTTTAACACCAGCTAGTTTTCTTGTCAATATGTGTCGTATATATTTCCACTCAAAATCAGAAGCAAACAATTTTTTTTGAGAGATTTTTTGTCTTTCTGAGAAATTCTCGTTTTATTCTGGTTTTATGACGTCGCAAATTTTTGGAAAAAAATTGCAACTTTCTCTGGTGTCAGTTATAATATTACCAATTTTGAACTATTCTTATTGATATAATGCTTATATTATATCTAATGCTTCTATAATATCTAATGCTTCCCACTCCTCTTCACCATAAATTCTAAATTGTCACCATTTAACATATTATAGTTAGTATGTTAGAGTATGATACAACATTTTTACTTTACCATTACACATTGTAAACTACCTAATTCATCACTCATACCATACTGTACATCACTCGTACATCACCAATACCATCCCAGCCATACAACAAAACACATCTTCCATGTCATAAAATACAACCAATACACCATCTTATACATCACCCATATTGCACACAAGTTGTTTTTATTTAGTTTTAGCTTGCATGTTGTTTTGTATATAACTTTTTTACTTTTTTTACTTTGGAATTCATCTGTTTTTGTATGTTGTTAACCCGTTAAACTCGTTTTATTTTAATGGTAGGAAACATTACCTATTAGGTTATGTATTTGATGATCTTGCTCATGAAGATCTGCTCCAAGACATACTTTTTCTGTCTGAGCTCTTTTCATGCTATTTCTTTCCCTTATTTTCTGCATTTCTTAGCAATTTGGAGGATTGAATACATGCCTGTTTACTGTTTTCCTTGCTTAACTTTTTTTATACATACAGTAAAACTTGTGTATAGTGAACACCTATGTAGTCACAAAAATATCTTCACTGTTAGATAGGTATTTACTACAAAGAGGCAATTTTATACAGAACTCGGTGAAGTATATGCTGAGAAGGGGTGTTCACTAAACACACGTGTTCACTAGACACATGTGTTCACTAGAGAGAGGTGTTCACTAGGACAGGTTTTACTGTATTTATATTTTAAAATACAAGAACATATCTCTACTTCTTCATGTTGTAGGTTGGCATCTGTACAAGAGCATAGATCTCCTCCGAAGGAAGTGGCGTCACATACGAATGGTCATGTGACCGAAGACACGATGCAAATGTCAGCCAATCAACAGGACGTTAGGAAACAGCAAGTAAGTACGATGATCTCTACAGGTTTTTGGGTGCTTAAATCCTAATTATATCACCTCCAGAAATGATGACATATTGTAATAGTCTCCAACTTTCGTGGCGATGTTCAGCGATCAGCAGTCAGCTTATGTGACAAATGGTAGGTGGTGACATGTTAATGCCTTGTGTTTTACCTGTTTTTGTCAAAATATCTCAATATGCCATTAATGTGTATAAATATGCAACACCAGGTTACCTATAATAGTTGGTAGATCAATGGAGTGAGTCTTTCTAACATGTTCAATATGAAAAATTGCTTTATTGTCGTTGTCTTGTGCCGATGAGCATGCGGATGGGTGGGTGGGTGGTCGCCACAGTTATCATTATTATTTATTCTTAGCCTAGATGTGCATCTTTCCAATGGGTCGTTTTAAAATCAATACATATGAACAGGGACAATGCAAGTTTCATATAATGTAATTAAAGTATCAGATTTATTATCGTATCATAGAGATTATCTTTCTTTTTTTGTCTTATTCTTTTTTGTCTCATATCGTTTCTTGTCTTACCTATTTTCTAGAAATCAAAACACTAATAGATTTTCATGTTTATGTGTTCATTTCTCTATAAATGAGGTCAAAACATTTATTTTTTGGGGAAAATTCACACATTTTTCACTTTGAATCTGAAATAACTTAATCATTTGATATGATATCATGGATCTTTCGGGAGATCATATATTTGCAATGGTAAATAATACATGGGTAGGTCAATTATGAATGTTGTTTTTATTTTGTCATCCTCATAGCTCTGATTTTAGCTTTAAGTATATAAGTAAAAGAAAATTATTTATTTTTCAGAATGGGCCAAGAATGGCTCCTCAGAAGAGTTCAGTTAGCCAAAATCAAAGCCATAATACCAAAGATACAACACCACAATTGAACAATAAGCCACCAGTTAACAGTGCCCCTGTTGTAACACCAACAAACATTAAAGCAGACAAATCTATGCCAGAATTTCGATTGAAGACTCAACAAGCTGACTACAGCACACAGAAATCTTCAGCCTCAAGTTCTGGGTCTAATGAGGTTAAGTTTGCAGACTCAGTTGATGTGTGGACTAAACAGTTTGATATTAGCTCTAATGCCAATGGTGGCCCCCCAAAGCCACCTCATGTGTATGTAGGGGCGGATGGTAAGCAGAGGCCATCTCCCCCAGGAACAATCAAATCTGGGGGCCAGGCGATAAAGCCTGGGGGACAGGGTATCTCCCCACCCAAATCTGGAAACCAAAGGCCAACAGCCCTACCTATGCAATCTAGCACGACGAAGACACACGGGCCTAGCAATGGGAAGGTCACTACTCCCACTGAGTCCAGACTTCCTCGTAGTGGCCTAAAGCTCCCTACTCCAACAAGAAACAGCCCAACTGGACTGAAACCACCCTCCCCTGCAGGCTCACTGAACAAGTCCAAGGGCAATGCCATCCCAAGGGTGACTATGTCTCCCACAGGGCCTAAACCTAGCAGTGTGAAGAACACTCATGAGAAGAGTAAGGTATCAAAACTGCCCTCTCCTCCTAAAGCCACCACCCCCACATCTGCCAAATCTATCACACCCCCTAAGGTAACCACGCCCAGTGGACTACCTTCGAGATCAATGGAAAACCAAGTTTATGTCTCAGAAGTCACCTACACTCGCCAGGGTTCAGCGGAGAAAGCTGGCCTTAGGAACAAGAAGACTCCTCCTCCCCCACCCCCCAGGAAGAGTAGTCGGTCTAGTGTGATCAAGCCTCTGCCCCGGGGTCATGCTCGCAGCCACAGTACACCTCCAAGTACCCGTGACCATGACGAGTCTGATTACATGAATATAGAGGAGCTGAACAACCGTATGAATGTTTCTCTCCATGCTCCAAATAAATCTCAAGCTGCACACACCCAACAGCCAACCACCAAAGCTAAACCAATGTCACGTTTCCAGCAGGATCTTCTGCAGGGGATTTATGCGAATGTAACTAGGCCTGATTACCAGGATCAAAACGTGGACAAACTAGGTGTGGTGCGTGCCTGTGAATCTCCCAATCCTGCCACTCGCAGGGCTAGTGATACTGGGAGCTCAAGTAGCGCAGAGTCTCAAGATGTAATGATTAAGATCAAAACTGCCACAACGAGTGCCATTCCCCAGGGAGGCTCTCCCCAGCTTCAAAGCTTCCAGCCCAACCCCAGCTCCCCTAGTCAACTCTCCCCTGCTGCCTCATCAGTCACCCTGAGGGACAAGAGAAACCAGGGTCCCGTGCCCCCTGCTCGGCGTTCCAGTCAGTTATCCCAGGAGGGGGACCTCATGGGGCAGCACAAGTCAGAACTCAGTATGCAGCTACGTGCTCCTCAAGTGAATAACAATAACACTACGATTACCCAGCATGAGACTCTTACAGTGAAACCAAAGTCTGGGTTCATAATATCTGCAAACTCTGTACGAAGACAAGCTGAGACTGATATATATTAACAGCTTATTGAGGAAAACATGAAATGGAGTGAACATATTATAAATACCAATTTGATTCGGCTTGTGTGGTAGCAGGACGATTACATTGGAATATTAGATGTAGTAAGGCACATGTCGAAACAGATTGTTTATTGACTCTCAAACTTGAATTTGTACTTTGAAAATATATTTTATTCACACAAACAATTAAGTCTGGTAGCCCAAAATTCCTCATTGGATCAGTGTTAAAGCATATTGACAATGGTACAAACGTCATCAAATTTATCACAAGTTTCCAACCTCTTAAGGTTGTTTTTGAGAAAAAAGGTTTCAAAAAGCTTTTAGCATGTTATATGATTGGATTCAGGATTGCTAGATGTTTTAGGGTGGTGTACCTCATTGAAATCCTGCACAATTTTACACACACTTTATATCCTTTAAAAGACAGATCATCTTATATAATTGCATCTAGTCTTGCACCAAGCTCTTTTGAACCCCCTAAAGTTACACCTCCTACACAGTTGGGAAAGCCGATAGTGGGTCGAGACATGGGCTCATACATGTACAAGTATAAGTACAAAATATTTTTTCTTGGAATGTGTACAGGAAGCATTTGTTCTCCAATTTTGAAAACCTAAGGCAATACTTATGTATGAAATATGGGAAGTTGCATCCCCTTCTGTTGAAAGCCCATGGTTGTCACTTGGTCCAAGACTATGATTTACTCAGTAGCTGATACATCGAATAGATTGTACTGTAACATCCAACTTTAAATGTATGTCCATGTACATGTACTTGAGGATATTCTATGATGTCTCCAAGCATTGAGTGTTCAACTGTGTATATGGTATTGTATGAGTATTTAGATTCAGTTGAAATCTATAATATATCATGTGTATTTATTGATCGTAAGGAATTGTATTTATAATGAATGTAACTCCTTAGAACTAATTGATAAGGAATATTGAGACCTTCAAATTGTTTACTGTACAGATTATATCTGTATTTTAAACTACAGAAAATCATCCATTCATATTTTATAAGTTGTGAATTTTTTCATATATTTTGTTTGATTATCTCGTGAACTGTAGTATTAAATATAATAGTTGGAGCATGATGCTAACCAAACATTGATTAAAATTCCCCATTGCCCAAAAAATGTCATAGAAGGCATATCTTTTCACAGATTTTTGATAAATGAGAATGAAGATGAAGTACCTCATTGTACTAATCATATACATTATGTATTTTCCAAGAAAAGAATTACAAAAAAACTGGGAAATTGAGAGGCTTTATTTAGTCAGAAAATGAAATTAAGTATATTAATATCACTTGCTTGTTAATTTTTCAATTAATTCATTTTTTCTTTGTTTCTGTATATCGAAACTGTTTAGTGATGCTTTATGGGTTGTTGATCACAAGAGACCATTGTACTTACATATCAAAATCTTGTTTTTAAAATTGTATTGTATGTAATATGACCTGATTCCAACAATTGGATTTGCCTTACTTAAAGTTATATTGTTACTCGTTTTGAAACAAGATATAATAAATGAAAAATGAAAATTCAAATAGTTTATTTTAGAAAATAACTGCTCGGACCAAATTGTTTTCATGGGGCGATATGTTTACTTTGTTATACTTGAAAAGATTATAATTGTTGAATAGAAATATGCTAAGACAATAAGCACTTGGTTTAAATAAAGAGAAATTGTTTGGTTGGACGGATATATTGCTCATTTGCTGGTCATCTAGTCAAGTGTTGGAACACACAGATCTGACTGGTGCTATTTGTAGATTTTTTAGTTAACTTTTGAATCCATTTCCTTGGAAGTACCAATAATGTATGTCCTTTCCTTGCAAGTACCAATAATATATGTACTTTTTATGCTGGTACCAAAAATGTAAGCACTCCATGCAGGTAACAATAATTTTTTCATGCAGGTACCAAGAATGTATGCACTCTCCAGATAGGTACCAATAACTATTATTCACCATACAGGTACCAATAATGTAAGCACTCCATGTAGGTACCAGGAATGCATGTTCTCTCCTTGTAGGTACCAAGAATGTATGTACTCTCCAGATAAGTACCAATAAAATGTATTCGCCATACAGGTACGAATAATATACATGTAAGCACTCCATGTAGGTACCAGGGATGTATGTTCTCTCCTTGTAGGTACCAAAATGTATTTATTCACCATGCAGGTATTAGATAATAATGCACTCTCAAGATATGTATAAAGATTGAAAATGATTATATGTCTCTTAGTCTTAGTCATCACATTTATATGATCCGTTCACTTGGGATTTACTTGTAAATAGAATATTTATAATATTTATGCTGAACCAAACGTCCCACAGTTTATTGAAAGACAAAATGTAACATATAGTAAAACAAAATTGAATGTTCATACCATGTTCATTCCATCTTGTTTACACTCTGTTTTAATATTTACTGTGACTGTACATACGTGTTTCGTGTTACAATACACAGATTTGCTTTTTGATTAAAATGAGACCAGCTTCTTCTTTCATTGTGCAATATTAAAGTGAATTTGTTTTGATTTTCTCACTGTGTGTACTACAAGTGAGATGTGAGTGATTTGTGTAAAACATGAACATTTATAATAAAATGTAGCAAGAATAATTGATATTCAAAACATTAGTTTCTCGATTTTTATCTACCCAGAAATTCCATCGAGCAGTCACTCAAACACATAATTATGTCACCACCAGAAGTGACATATTGTTATAGTCTCCATTTTTTGTGGCTGTGGTCGGCGGTTGGTGTTCGGCGTCTGTATCTATTAGCAGGTGGTGACAATTTGAATGTTTATGCCTTGTTTATGAGTTCGATGGAAAGAAGATCTTTATTAATCCACCGAACAAAGATCGTTCAATTTGGGATAAACAGAAGCCGTTTATTCGTCCGTCAGCACACACCCATAGCCAAACGTATTTTTACACCCACGTCGGGACTCACGTCCAACGCATTTCCCTCCAACCCAAAATACGGATCAAATAAGACATTCCATGTATACATAGTCATAAAATATTAAGTGCCAAGTTGTTGAACTGTGATAGCTAGAGACACTAGAAATACTAGGTCGGGGAATATTTTTTGAAATATTTAAATGTTAAGAAAATAATCGACAGCCGCTCATTCTATTGTTTTCCAAGTTAATTTTCTAGTTAATTATGAAGACGAAGCTCTTTTAAATAGCGAAGTCATCAACGCAACACTGGCCACTGAAAGCAATGCTATAATGTTGAGTGGCGTTTTCCATGGCAACCATGATCCAATTAAAATAGGCGACAGGCCCTTACGAACTTGGGTCGGGGGTTCGAGCTGTCAAAAGAGTCCTCCCCTTGGCAAAAAGCTGGCTACGGGCCTGGACGAGGCAAACTGAGTTGAGTTTATTTTATAGTTTTTGAACTATCTACAGCAAACAATGGTGAATGCCCCGTGCATTTATCCCATTACCAGACATGTAGATCATATAATAGTCTTGGTACGGGATAACCGTACATCATCCGATTCCAGTGAAACACTATTTATAAAATGTATAGTACCCGGTATCCCGGATAAAGTCTAGAGACAGAAGAAAAATAAATCATATATAGGGCGAGGCATTCATTAGCGCAATACGCCATAATTTGAATTTTTCAATTAAAGAACGTTTTAAAATATTAATTTTTTGCAGGGCCTTGGTGTTAGCATTATCTTTTTATTACTTTAACGATCCACTTCGGTACATCGTTCATTTATCAATTAAGATAATTTCATTACGTCGATTGCAATGTAAAAATACACGTAATTGTATTTATTATATAGTAATACTTTAGAAAGTCGTGACAATTATATCGACAATTGCGGGTGATATATTTGATATGTTAATTTCAATAATCGATAAATAAAGGAATATTCATTCAACCAAATATAGATCGAATAATGACAACAGGATGCTTACATTTGTACACAATCGATTCTATATTGATTGAATTTAAATATTTCACTTGATAAAGCATTATTTAAAGCCAAAACAAGAATACAGCTTTAAAATCGTTTGACGTTAAATGACTAAGTTTTCCCGGGGATTTAAATTCCAAACCATTTCCTTTTGAATCGGTCTTTTTAGTTTTTTTTATAGTCAAAATAGTTATAATCAAATTGATTGCACGTCGCCAGCAAATATCTTTCATATTTATCCCCATATCACTGGTGATCCACTCGATTACGCTGGTTACCAAAACGAACCGTTTTGGTAACAAAATGTCGGAACGTCGAAGGCACGATTTTTCTTTTTTCCTGATTTCACGCGTTGTAGGCAGAATCCCCACGACGCTTTTTCTCACAACGTGTATCTGTATCATATGTTTTAGAAAATGTACATGTTTGCGAAAAATAGCTCAGAAGACAACAGAATCGTCGATTTACTTCCTCACTTAAGTTACATAAACGGTTTTTCGAAAAACAGTTAAGATCTGCACTTTTAACCCAAACCGTTTATGTAACTTAAGTGAGGAAGTAAATCAACGATTCTGTTGTCTTCTGAACTATTTGTTCGCAAATATGTACAATTTCTTAAACATATGATACTGATACACGTTTGTGTTCAAAAATGTCGTGGGAATTCTGCCTACAACGTGTAAAATAAGGAAACGAGAAAAATCGTACCTTCGATGTTCCGACATTTTGTTACCAAAACGAACCGTTTTGGTAACCAGCGTAATCGAGTGGATCACCAGTGCATATACTGATTTTATCCAATGATTTCTAATACGCTAATTTCTCAGTCTTTCCGATTTACCCGAGCCAAGGATCTTCCGGAGTGTCTTTGGGTGGACACCCATTTGCCTTCATTGCAAATGGTGTTTTCATAGAAAGGAAGCTGATATGAAATAGGCTAAAGCAAAATGACACTTCGCATCATATGATATACATCATATGAGTTTGGACCCAGCTGGTTTTCATAGTCTTCATCATAGAATTTGACATGGCATTAACTGTTTCAAAAAGATCATTTCAAAATCATTTGAAGTTCGAGTATCTTCGCAAAATCGAGAAAAATAGTACGATGTAGATTTTCTAAATCGATTTTGTTAAGTAACGGCCACCGTGGAGCAAACGTGACTGCCAACCTCGCAGTTATAAACTATATATATAAATATAAACATACTTATTTATGATTTTTCAGACAGTTCCATGTATTACAAATAACTAAATTGGCATACATTATACCGACTATGGGCCATTAAGGTATCCTTTTTACTGATGGGTGGAAGAAATTCACTTCCGGCTTTCCATATCCCAATATTTCTCTTAGCTCCTTAGGGAGACAGTAGTACGATCTTCTCACACAGTCCTCACAAATACACTTGCCTTCTTTGTATGCCAACTCAAATGGCGATTTCATAGACTGAAAAAAGGAAATTTCATCTGCATTTGTGAGACTTTAAATATCGTACGAGAATTTTTACCGGAAGGTAGGCCATCTTGTTACAAAGACACGGCGTCTTTGTATTATGATATCTGACACTCAGACTTGTCTTTTCATCGAATAGTTTCATTATCTGCGTTTCTCAAATCGCACTTCTAACGAGTAGCCACTCCTAGAGTACAATTACCCCCCCCTTGTTCTTCATAAACCAAGTGGTTTGTGCCACATACGTTTATACTTACTTTCTCTTACACAGTTATCCTATGTGTCCCTTTGTAAACCCGTTAAGATGCTATTAAAACAAAATATCTGACTAAGCTTGTATTCGAGAATGAAACTAAAGTCTGTCAGCTAACGGATTAACCTACTATTTTATGGGAAACTCATTTAAAAATGAATAGTACCTGCCACTATTCCAGTCATAATTAGATGAGTTAGCCATAAAAAAAGTATGTTATACCGTCAGCCGGCAGGTGAATTCGCGAATGCTACACAAGCCATCCAATTATTACGTGACAAGTATTTTGACCAATGGATTATTCAAATGAATGAAAAATCGAGCTACCTTTGAAGTGGGGTCCATAAACATGAAGGGACAGCCACAGCATCGTCTGTTGGAAGGATGGCACGCTGACATAGTGATGGGACAAGTTCTCTGGAAGGACGCAAACTTCTTGCAGGGGTCCAGGTCGACCACAGGTGGTTCGGTTATTGGAGGATCTTAAAAGTGAATAAACTACTGTGTTGAATAGTATCCTGGGCAGCCACTAGAAATAGTGTTAATGTATATCTGTGGCTCTCCTTTCTTGAAGTTAACTATATGTCCCATTTTAAAGCTTAGTGGAATATCTTATGACGTACTAGTTTTCTTCATATTATGCTATCTCTATTTCTAAAGCTAAAGTTTGCAATATTTGTACTGTGGGATAGACAGCCTTAACTATCCCTTGGAATACACAACCATTTGATAAAGGGGGGCCCCGATAAAGAGGGGCTCTGATTGTTATAGAAAGGATAACCAGAGACATGGGCCCGGATGAAAATCGCGCCAGAGTCCCTTAAGAAAACATTAACTTAAGGACTCCGAGAATCTGATCGGACAAGCTTCGATTTTGACTTAATGTTCCCGGACCTCAGAGATACAATATAATTTTCAGTTATAATCCCAGTGTAAAAGGGTAGAAGGGCCTATCAAATTATGGTACTACTCTTCATATAAATCAATGGTCCTACTCTTCATTGATTTATATGGCGACCTCTTCCCTTATTATCTTATACACAATCAGGGCCAGAAAGGGCCGTTTAGAAAGGGAACCATAATCCCTGGGGTTGGAGGGGGGGGGGGAGGGGGGGAGGGGGGGGGGTTAAAGTCACATTCATCCTTTACTTACCACAGAAACCTGCCAGGATTTCTTCTAAGGAATTAAGCAATTCGACGAAACCTTTGTTTATAAGGAAATTTTCTGTAGGCTGACTGGCGATCGCAGAGAATTCAGCAGACCCGTCTTTGTGTTTAGCGTTTGGTAAACTAACCACGAATACCTTAGCTCCAGTCTCTTCTTTTAGCGCCCTCGCTTCTTTTTTAGTGTCCCCGGCTTTGGATGCAGGAAACGTTGCACCATCAGTGATAACCAGTACGACCTTTTGTATCGGAGGATTCAAAATTCCCATTGGATCCCGAAGACCCTTAGCGCTTGTAAGTTGCAATGTTTTAGCTGACCTGAGAGCTAAATCTGTTCTAGTACCACATCTCGGCCTAAAGTCATTTTCAGGGTGAATATCCATTTTCGTGATGTGGTCAACAATAGGACCTGATGAGGAGTAGGTATTCAAAAAGAATTCGTCATAGACGAACTTATCAAATGTTACAAGGCCCAACTGAAATGAATTAAATACATTTTTTCCATGACAAACACTAAAATACTATTTGCTCGTTCATTCAAAAACCACCCGACCACTTTAAGCTTGAGCTCTTGATGTCGCATACAATACAAAACAAGCAAACAACAATAATAAAAACTCTACTTGTGCTTTCTCCGGTGAAGGACCAATATCCAAGCGATCGGCAAAGTTTATCATGAATTCATGCACGATTGTCTTGTTTGTCGGAGAGATGCTGCAAGATATATCCAGAATAACGACAATATCAACACCACACTCCACTAAAAAGAAAACATAAGTGCCAAAGTTATTCCTAAAATAAATGTTAAACCTGTAAGTTATTCTAATAGTGTTTTTTAACATTCTTGTCTGAACCATGGGCTTTCAATTAGCGTTGAGTTGAAAGCCATGTCTGAACCGATTGACGAAAAATAAGCATATTTAAAAAAAACGCAACCCAAAGAAATCGCTAATTATGTTCATATTTTCAGGAAATAAAGAAGAGACTGTGTATGAACAGCTCCTGTAAATGGTTAGTTGTAAAACATGATGCCTTGGACACCTGCTCAAAAGACAGTTGTACGAGGAAAATACGAAAAACGCAGTCAGGGGTGACAGCAACCGCGAGAAAATTAAATAACTTCCTAACCATAGTGTTTTGGCTAGATTCAAATTTGGCACAAATCATCTTCATTTATTGTATTTATTGAATGAGGATAATTTGTGCCAAATCTGAAGTGCCAAAACACCATGGTTAGAAAGTTATTTGGTTTTATTGCTGTGGCAGTCACCTCTGACTGCGTTTTCATATTTTCCTAGTACAACTGTCATTTGAGCAGGTGTCCAAGGCATCATGTTTTATAACTTACTGACAACAGTAAAAATGAACATAATTGAATTCATATTTTCCAAGATATATATATATATATAGTGATTTTCCATTCACGTTTTTCATATTTTGCTAGTACAACTGTCTTTTGAGAAAGTGTCCAAGATAACATGTTTTACAACTAACTAACAACAGGGGCTATACATACACAGTCTCTTCTTTCTTTCCTGAAAATAGGAACATAATTGGATTAGTATTTTCCAAGATATTGCGATTTCTTTGGGTTGCGTTTTTTGAACACCCTGTAAGTGTTAACCCTCGGTGATCGGAAAAGGGGAGTAGGCAATTTCTGCAAGAAAATTCAACAAATCTGGAATATTTATTCTTTTAAGAAAAAGTCTACTATTGAATTGCTCAATGGATCTTATATATGTTCATTACAGGTCATGTAGACCATTTTTGCTTGATTTATAGCAAAAACATTGACTTATGCACGTTAGTGGCCATGCGCCTTTTTAACTTACGGGACGCGTACGTGGGCGTGTAGAATTATTGTCCTCTAGGCTTCGGTTCCCTTCTTCGTAATATTTACTTGCCGGATAGAGTGTAAAGGTATAAAAGTCACCAGATAAAGTTTAAAAATATGTTTTTATCATTCATTTACTATTGTCATGACTTATTTTAGAAATTTAAAAAAAATATATATATTTCTCAAATATTCAAATTTCCCGCTATTTTCAAATAAAAGTTAGAACTTTTCTAATTACCAATTTCCCATTGACTTCCATACAAATGCTTTGCTAGGTATGAAATACTATACAGTGCAAAACGCATTCTTTACTTTGCTCGATGCAACAGAAGATACGAATTACAATATGAAAGGAAGTGAGCTTTGTCACTTCAAAAGTTTCTCGGGTTTTCTTGGATATTCAAAAATACTGCAGTCAGAAGATATTTCACGTTTACAGTAAGCTTAGTGCCCTTTGGTATCAAAACAGGAGGTTTGATTTTCACTAAGGTGATGAATGCAAATTATCTTTTTAACACGACCAATGCAAAGATTGAACAAAGGACACTTTATTTCAATAATAAAATGTCATGCCACTTTAATGTTTTAGCATATTAAAACTATTTTGTAACCTCAGTGATATCATCGTGACATCACTCAGGTGGCAAAAACTTTTTGAAAAAATTAAAACATTTTTTCTATGTCAATCCTTTCTAAATATGTTAAACTTTAAAAATAAACCAACGTTGATTGTCTAATCAGATTATTAAAGGACGACGTTTTAAATATGATTGTATTTTCGGTTTTTATGAGAACTAATATTTTGAAACGCATTTTTCAATTTTCATGCATCGATGAGTTCATTTCTCGCTTATTCGTGAAGCAGTTTTCTTAATTATTCGGCAAAATACGTGAGTATGAATGCTATATACATTGGTGTGAAGTATCAGTTATTAAAATATACGTGTGGCCTCTTAAAATTAGTTTTAAATATAATTCATGATTTTTTGAACAATAAGTCCTTCAAAAATCAAAAATGAACACATATCACACTTTGATAACATTGGGTAAGACTACATACTCGTATAACAATATACACCAAAGTGGTTTAAACTTTATATGAGACCTTTAACACGGGTGTTAAAACACGAATATACCATCATGAACACATGCTTTGAGGATCCGCGTTGTTTGAACCTACCGCCGAGCACACTTATACATAAGACCCGTTACACAGTCATGATACCGCCGGGCAAGCTCACTGCATCATCGGGTCTGCTTTACCCCCGTGTTAAAGGAAAATTGTATGTCCCTGGGGAAAAACTAGTGAGAGTAGACAGTAGACAGTAATCACACGTTCTCTAAAAACGTTTAGCTAAACCTCCCGGATAATTTACGAATAATTGAAACTTACACTGGATTTTCTGGGAGTCTACCACCATTGGGCCCAGTACCATGATACAACCCAACGCCAACAACTTCAACATCTTGACACTTCTAAATAAAAATAACTATATGAATACCTTTAAAACACACTTCACTCATTATTCGAGATGAAAATCATTAAGTTTATTGTATGTGTAATCCGAAATGAAAAGTATAATAACGTACCTGTTTTCGATTCTGTCTATGTATGTGGGTCGAGATAAGATGACCGATACTATTTATACTATATATAACTGTCCTATTAATATATGCAGTCTTCTGTCTCTTTCCCCGGTGACGACAACGTATAAACTAAACTCAATTTGGATTTGGGTGAAATCATCAAATAGAAAACAAATAAATTTTAGAATTTTAAACGTTTTCTGTCTTGATATATTAGAAATATAAAAATTAGTATGCAAATGTATGCATATTCGTCAATGTTATACAATATGGACCCTAGTTTCATTTCTGATTTATTAAAATGAAATTTTAATCCAATACACATACAATTTTCATCTTTCGATATTTTCAAGGGCATCTATTCAATGGTCTAGAGGATTGTAGATGATAAAATTCATTAATCTCGATTTGAAACAGTAAATCTTCAGTCAATACATAACATATATATTGATAAAACAAATAAGCTTCTGATGTTGCATCTTCTTACGTGTAGTCGATGAAATGTAATATTTCTAACTCTCTCTTTTCAATTTGCAAAAATAGTCGAGTGTGATGTTTTTCTTTTGATTTAAAATCTTAAAATCTTATCACTTCTACAAAACATAGTATGCAAACACAAGAGGTAACTAACAAGTCAGAAAAAATAAAATCCGCAATAAACCTGAGACCATCATTTTATGTTAGTCTCAGCTCAAACTATGATTTAAGTCACAAAAAACAATGTTACACCCTTCCCCTCTTGACAACTTCAAGGAACCATTGTCAAAATACAAAAAATTATGACACAAGATCAAAAAACACACGCAAGAGTTCACATATTCTGCCATCAAAAAGTCATTGGTTCAAGTATACCACATAGAACACCTCAACTGACAAAATCCAATAGTCTTAGTCGTCGAAAGGTCAACATTCATTCGCAAAGCCGCAGCCATAGGCCACATAACACAATAATTCACAATGGACGCAGGGACTGTAATTTATTAATTGCATTGTCCAAAATTGTTCATATTATTCCAAAAATATCGTTAAATATCAAAACGGTTGAAGAATCATTTCATAATGTACACATTTTGGAACTTGACGGTTTCAAAAGATAGTTTCAGTCTTCTGAAAGTGGATTATCTAACAATGTTGGTTAATGAATATAGTCTTTAGAATGTAAATGCCATCAAAAATACTAATAAAACGATAGCATATTAACCTTGAAGGACATGCCCTTTGACCCCAAGCGATATTAAGTCTTACTTAAAATGAATTCAAAGAATATATAGTTAACATATTGGTACATCTAAGGTTAACCATGATGAAACTTTTGTAACATACAAAAAATATAGGACATTTAAGGATTTAATTGGATGTATTAGTAGGGACATCATATTCTAGACAACAAGTAATACGATGAACAAGAACAGTATGTGAATAAGAAAAACGCCAAAAATCGAGATGAATCGAGACTTATTCCCAGTTCCCGCGATAGGATAAGTTCTAATCTATCAGTCAGAAAACATTTCCGTGTTTGGTTAGAAAGAGAATTTCTAGAGATGGCGGTAAGAGTTGACGGTGATCGAGTATGTTGAGCAGAATAGTTTTCTAAAACCGGTGTAAAAGGGGAGGTGGTCCTGTCAAATGTTGGTACTACTCTCTATTGATTTATATGGTGACCTAATCACAATTATTTTCCTTATTATTTATACACAGTCAGGGCCAGTAAGGGCCGCAAGGAAAGGGGACCATAATCCCCAGGGGACCAAAGTTTATTTTACACCGGTAACTCTACTATGGTAGCCCTCTCCAGGTTCATTTATCTTAAAATCCATATGGTCACCGAATCATTATCTTGTAATGGCAAGCTAGACGAGACAAAATTTTCTATCAACGCTTCGAATAATATTTTGTTAATATCTGGCGTGTTAACTTATATCATAGTTTGTTATTTCACATCAAGATAAATAATGATAAAGTAGGAATATGCTTAAATCGATTAAAACATCACAACGACGCGTTATATACGAAAACTAACAAGTGAGACTTTGCGCAAACGAAGGTGGTATGCAAGAGACGTAATATGTCAGTCACCGCTAAAGCTCTCTGGGGCTTTCCTTCTCTTGTATAAAGTAAGACATTTTGAGCCAAAGTAAGCATCTTTTAATTATCATCCCGGGATTATCATGCTTCATAGATTCCTGCCAACAAATAAGCAGCTGTGTAGCTAGGAAGAAAAACGACGAAGAGAAAAATATTTCCAAGCGACGGCGCTGCCTCATCATGGAGCTCTTCAAAAATTATTTCCATTATTCAGATTTTAAATGGCGGCTATGTAACTTAGTCAGAAAAATACGAATGTAAATTATTTGTTTGGATAACGAACGTAGACACCAATAAAATACGAGCTTATTTAGTTCGATGGCAATAGAACATGATGATGTTACGTGCATAATTGAATAAAAAATTGATAAAAGTTATAGATCTTTGAATTTTCAACTCATCATACATGAATATTTCTCAAAGAATGTCTTAGCTATGATATAGCCACCATGCCTTTGTTTGAATTGAGTTGTATCAAAAAGTAAAAGTCTTTTCTGGGTCACCGCGAATGGCATGATTTCCTCGAGTCTCTTCAGTTGCAGGGCAACCATACTGGGACCGATTCGTGTCGTTCCACTACTGCCCTTGGTGGGGGCCCGCTACCATACTGTATGACTCCCGGAGTCTACCAAAGCACGTTAGTGGAGGAACCAACCACAGTCTCACAATCTGTCTCCGACAAAAGCGGTCAGAGAACCAACCCAAGCCAAGGGCCAGTATACGGTTGGACCTTCGGACCGGGTGTCCGTAGTGACAATGATCAACAACTCCGTACCTGGGGCTCGAACGCGGGACCTCCGTATCCCCCGGTACATTCTACCACAGTCTAACCCGCTCGGCCAAACTGCTCAGGTGTCTAAACTGCTCAAAAAAGTAATATTTGTTCTACTATTTTGCTTGAATGAACCAGAACTTATAACAATCTTATTTTCTAAACCATTTGTTTTGAATTACTAGCTAATTACAAACAACGACAATCACCACGCGCAAATGCATGCGTAATTGGCTACTTCGCGTAATTGCGCCTTCTGAGATCACATATGCAACAGGGGAACAAATGCGAATTCGATTATTAAAACATTTTAATTTTGAATCAATCAATTTCAGCGTTCATAAGCATTAGGGTTTGTTTCAGTCGGGGATTTATAATATAAGAACTCATAAAAAGTTCATTCTAATTGTGCAGTAACCACAACGCGACATTTTTAGAATAATCGTGTACATCGTTTAAAAAATTCATAGATCATCCGATATTTTAGATCAATGTTTGTCACATGTACTTGCTTTTGAAATTCGCCTTCTTGAAAACTTACTGACTTGATAATAGACAAATGCAAAATTATAAAAATGCAAGTACACGTCAAAATCTAGCCCTTTGGCCTCGATAAGATATACTTGTTAAAATGTGCATAAGCCTCGTATCATTCGAGGGCACAGTTACATTGTGTTTGGGTTAACGATATGTGGTTATTTATGAGACGTTTGTAGTCTTGGTATTCCTTTAGAGTTTGATTCATTGGCATTGTAGTCTTGTCATTATTCTAGAATTAAATTTGCTGGCATTGATAGTCTTGTCATTATTCTAGAGTTTAAGTCATTGGCATTGGTAGTCTTGTCATTATTCTAGAGTTTAAGTCATTGGCATTGGTAGTCTTGTCATTATTCTAGAGTTTAAGTCATTGGCATTGGTAGTCTTGTCATTATTCTAGAGTTTAAGTCATTGGCATTGGTAGTCTTGTCATTATTCTAGAGTTTAAGTCATTGGCATTGGTAGTCTTGTCATTATTCCAGAGTTTAAGTCATTGGCATTGGTAGTCTTGTCATTATTCTAGAGTTTAAGTCATTGGCATTGGTAGTCTTGTCATTAAAATATTCTAGAGTTGAATTCAAAAGGAAGAACACTAGAGTCATACTTTAGGACTTGACGATAATCATGCCAAAGGATGCGTCGATCAAAATTCCGGGTTCTAAGTTATTAAGGTAAAACAACTCCTACTAAGTGTGCAAACATAATAATAATACACTTCTTGTTTCACTACAATACAGTTCAGTTTATTACAAATATTTATGTACAATATCCTAAGGTTTCATCCTTTTTACGGATGGGTGGAAATAATTCACTTCCGGTTTTCCATATCCCAATATATCTCTTAGTTCCTTAGGGAGACAGTAGTACGATCTTCTCACACATTCCTCACAAATACACTTGCCTTCTTTGTATGCCAACTCAAATGGTGTTTTCATAGACTAGAATAGACAAAATATACTCTGAACATTTTTAACAGATGAATGGATATATTAACCCTGATCTAGATATTGTGGCATTGAAATGCCTTTGTCGTTTTTTCTTTCATTCATTCATTTTATACAATATTGTATAAAATAATCTTTTTAACATTATGCATAACTGTAATAAATAATACAATAGATAATTTATAAAACTGTCAAGTAAGATTGTTAAAATCATATAAATGATGCATGCTGTATTAAGTGTTAACTCGATGAATGAACTTGTTTCTTTTTGTGTTTTTGTCCAAAATGTTTTGCTACGTGTGAAAAGAGTCCAGTCCAAAAAGGTTTTCGTGCCATAATGAATATTTTCATTACTTTGGTCAGATTTGTCAACATATATACCTTAATATCGACGGACACGGGTGTTACAATAAGCCCTTTTAGCCTAAGCTAATTCCATTTATAGATGGCAGTCATGTGATAAAAATTCAGGAAATGATAACATAGAAGGTATGGGGATTCTCTAGATTTTTCACCCTTTTCTTATGATTCTTTGAAAAAATTATTTTTATTTTAAAAAATTCTTGGGCCATAGGTCATGATAAGATTGTTATCTATTTAAAGACATATCTTTTCCAACTGTTATATAACTGGAAAATGACTAATTGGTCAAGGGTCACTACAGGGCCATACATTACATCTACTTTCTTCTTAGTATTTCTTCTGAAAGTACAAGATATCTAACATCTATAATTACATTTTGTAGTATTCGTTAATAAAAATGTCTGGAGAAAAAACTTTAGAAACATTTTCAATGATGTCAAATATAAGTGTAAGTTGGATCAGTTTCTGAGTCTGCGAATAATTTATTTGGGATTAGTTATAAAACTATGTCTGAATGTAAACTCTCAAATCCTGCATCAAATATCTGAATAGTCTCTAACTATCTAGTTAACCTTTTATCCTGTATCAGTATGTGGACAATAGTAAACATTGTAATTCAAGCTGCACTTAAAACAAGCAGTATCTTACTGGTGGCTATATAAACTTATTGACCCCAGGTCATTTTGGTGATTTAAGCTGACCAACATCAAGCCAAATATTTTAGACAAAATAGCCAATATTCATCTTTATTTTCCATTATTTATGTTGTTTTAAAAGACTAAAAAACTTCATACCAATGATATATAAGATCTTACCTAAAGATCTGATGATTTTCTGAATGAATGAGGAAACAGAAATGGTAGCATTATGATGTTAAAATCATAGTATAAAGTGTTATGTTTTACATGTTGGTTCAATGGGGAACTGCTTTAGGCCTAAGATTCTTTTCCTGAAAATGGGCTAGACATCTATTGGCTGTTTATAGAGTATTTTCAACTATTTAGCAAGGCTAAACTCCTGTATTGTGACACCCACGGACGACCACCCTCAACGGTTATCTCTATATTTTATTAGTTCTACTTCTACTCCCCATGTCCCAACTATTTGAAATGATTTTTGAAATGAATATTCACGTATATGATCTACCTTTGAAGTGGGGTCCATAAACATGAAGGGACAGCCACAGCATCGTCTGTTGGAGGGATGGCACGCTGACATAGTGATGGGACAAGTTCTCTGGAAGGACGCAAACTTCTTGCAGGGGTCCGTGTCGTTCTTTGGTGGCTCGGTTATTGGAGGATCTTGAAAACAATAATATCTCGTTACTGTTTTATATAGAGATAACCAAAATATTTAAAAAGGCCCGGGTGAGCTTTAATGTCCTGTTTTAGAGTCCATTTTCTTTCAATTGAAAATGGATTCTAGCAATACTATCCCACATGAATGTACTTGTTGAGATTCGATCAACTTGAGTTTTAGAGAAAATGAAGATTCCAGCAAGGGTGCATTGATTTAACATGGGAATACAATTGATTTTACCATCATATATTTCATGTTTTGGCGTCTTCACTGTATAATGTCAAAGAAGAGAGTCAGAGAAATTGAATGCAAGTTGAGTTAAATTTAAAAATGGATAAAATCGGACAAAGATAAATCAAGAGAGATATACTCACCGCAGAAGCCTCCCAAGATGTCTTCCAGGGAAATAAGCAATTCGTCGAAACCTTTCTGGATGAGGAAATCATCGGTAGGCTGACTGGCGATGGCAGAGAATTCAGCAGTACCATCTTTATTGTTAGCGTTTGGTAAACTAACCACGAATACCTTAGCTCCCGTGTCTTGTTTGAGCGCCCTTGCTTCTTTTTTGGTATCCGGGGCTTTCGATGGCGGAAACGTTGCGCCGTCGGTAATAACCAGTACGACCTTTTGTATCGGAGGATTCTTTATTCCCAATGGATCTCGAAGACCCTTAGCACTTGTGAGATGTAATGTTTTAGCTGATCTAAGGGCTAAATCTGTTCTAGTGCCACATCTAGGCCTGTTGTCATTGTCAGGGTGAATATCCATATTTGTGATATGATTCGCGATTTGACTTGACGATTTGTACGTATTCAAGAAGAATTCGTCGTAGACAAACTTATCAAATGTAACGAGGCCAAGCTAAAAGTAATGAATATAGCAACTTTAGTACAAGCAGACACATATACAGCCAATTAAATTTCCTCGGTTAATCCAAAACGTCAATCAATTGAATATATCACATTCAAATGTCACAAGATCAACTTTCAAATTTCATCATCTTATAAATATGTCATGTCATGTTCACGTTCGCGTACATATAAAGACATGTATCTCAACCTCCCTAATATGTGAGTAAAACGAGCAACCAATATCAATAAAAATCTTATCAACCATACTTGTGCTTTCTCCGGCGAAGGTCCGATATCCAAGGCATTTGCAAAGCCAACCATGAACTCATGCACGATTGTCTTATTTGGCGGAGTGATACTACAGGATATATCCAAAATAACGACAATATCAACACCACATTCCACTAAAAAGAAAACATAATACTTAGGCAAAGTAGATCCTCAAAGTGCACTCCTTAATGAAAAAAGGATGGTGCCATTTAAGCAAATGTTCCAATATAACATTGGAAAGCCGAGAGTGTCAATATCAACACCACACTCCACTAAAAAGAAAACATAAGTAGAACAAAATAGACGAATTTGAAGCATGAATAAGGAGTTTAAGCTTACATACAAAATCGAAACGCCAGCTTATACTTATGACCAATCGCCCATACAAATGAATCGCTTAAATATTTTCCATTCACGTTTAGGTTGTGAAAAACATTGCAAGCTTAAACTCCCCATTCTCTTGCCTAAAGTCAAACTGATTAAGTGCAAGTATCTAGTCTAATTATAGTTTTATGTAATTTGCATTCTAAACTTACATTCTATTTTCTGGCCATATACTACTGGGCCCAGTGCTAATATACACCCAAGTGCTATCAGCTTCAGCATATTAACACTTCTAAATAAAATTACAAAAATATAAAATATACAGGGCTGGACTATACTATTATAAAACAGTTATTATGTCACCACCACATGTGGTGACATATTGTTATAGTCTCCAACTTTTTTGTGGCGGCGGTTGGTGTTCGGCCTTTGGGGTTCGGCGGTTGGTGTTTGGGGAGTGTAACTAATGGCAGATGATGAAATTGTGCATGTTTGAAATACCTTGTTTATATTTAATACACGACACAATATACCATTTAAAGAAGGCTCGGATTTCTGTTGTTAGTATTAACTGGTCCACACCTGGTTATAAAGACGTTGCGTCTTTAGGATGAACTTCCGGAGGAAAATTTTATTTTTATCATTTTCAGCAAGAAGGAGGTCGACTTTTAGCCAAATATTTTACCCGTACGTTAATAGTAACATCTGGTTACTGAAGAGCGAATAAATCTCGGGTGTATTCATACATGGGTCTAATAATCGAATGAGAATTCCTCACTTCAGCAACCAGGACGTTAATAGGCTATAAAACAATTGCAACGCAACCAAGACGTTATGCATTTCATCAGATAACGTCCTGGTTGCCAAAGCGAGGGACTCTCACTCGATTTTTGGAGCTGCTGGGTGTATTTGCTCGCAACTGACTAGCTTTTCCGAAAGGTAATGTTACTATTCACATACTGGTAGAATATATTAGTTTACTACTCGACCTCCTTCTTGGTGAAAATGATGGCAAGTGATTTTAGACGGTCATATCTTTCACAATGAATACAGTGGTTTTTATTAAAACAATATGTTTTTCCTTCAAGTGCAGTACCCCTGATGATAAAAATATAAATCAAACAATTCGAAAAATTATGAATAGGGACCCCATGTCAACATTTTTTTTCAAAATATTGAATCTATTTACCCAAAAGAGGATCTTCTTTTTCTGATTTTTATTGCATGGAAACATTATTCAACAAGGAGTCTAAGACATGTTCAAAAATAGAATGGTATTGAAAGTCTAGTTTTGAAGATATCAATTTTCGATGACCAAAATTATGCTGAAAACAATAGATAGCACGAGTTTTCCCTATGGGAAAATGATATGGGATATGTGGTTTTTAACTTTAACTCATTTCAATACCCATCCCCTAATCAGAAATTGTTAATATAGTGTAGAGGAGACTTTCGATATGTTTAAATTGAGAAAAACAAGATCCTCTTTTTAGAAAATGAGCCTAACATTTTTGAAAAAGTGCCCTTATCCATAATTTTTCAGAGAGTTGGATTGATATTTTACTATCATTGGGACTTCACTTGAAATAAAATATATTGTTTTAATAAAAGCTACTGTATTTATGGCCAGAAAGTACTCATGGTGAAAGATATGACGGTCTAAAATCACTTGCCATACTGCACGTGGTCTTTTCATGAATAAGAAAAAGACATATTTTGAAAAACGGTGATACATAATGTTCAATGATCAATCAAAATGGTATATTCAGACAATTGTAAACATAACCCGAATAAAATACATGTACCATAAATCAACTCTGTGTACATCGATTCTGAATATCTAATTTACATCTATTAATGCCTATGATATAAGTTATATGACTAATCACGTATAGTGAAACATGTTTAGAAATATAAATGTGGTGTTTTCCCAGAATACAGTCATAACGATTTCAAAGAGGAATTCCGTACAAGTTACCCTACCCTTCATTACTTTAATCATAAAATCATTAACATATCATGCCAAAACCTTTGTTCCATTTACTCGACACGAAATATAATGTTTTTATGAATTTAAACTAAACTATTAATAGCGACAGGATGTATAGTAGTATTTAGCCATGAATCATGCAAGCACAATTAAGAAGATTAAAAGAGATATAGATGAGGTTGAGAGTGAGTGAAAAATGTCGCAATTAACAATATTTTGCTTTCATCATACCATGTCATGCCCATTTTTCAAATTCATCATTCCCGACTTTGTTTCATGATAGTCCTTCGATTTTTAAGTTATTTAAAAAATAATTGATTTTTTAAGGGAATTTTTGAAGTTTTGAACCTTTCTGCATCTTGAATTTTCAACAACTTCAATAATTGCTCATTATCTCAATCCTCTTTTCATTATGGAGAATTAGGATTGTACAGGAAATATTATGGTTTCTAAAGAGATTGGTTACAATATTTCTCCCATCCGTGCTAATTATTTTAACTTTAACTAAAAATTGTACCTCAACCCCTCCTTTAAACTAAATATGTATACCAAATGTAATTTACTGGTATATATAATGATCTATTTAGTTTTAATTTCAATGATATCAGTTGGATGTTATACATTTTAGGAAGGTAAATCTCGTATCACATCCGTTTATCTTCCATCAATCTTGTTTTGAGCGTACTTTTATGCTATAATTACGTGATATGTTTTATTATGGGATAAAAAGTCATGTCCTTTCGGCATTGTGTATGCCTGGCTATTTCCATGGACTTTCGGCCAATCTACATAGAAGATTTGTAGATCTGTATATAGAGATTATCCTTTGTATGGGTCAAGATATTAACAATATTAATTTCCTGCAAAATGAAAACCAACTCGGCGAAGTTCAGCCACATATAATGAATCATCGAATTGAATCATTTGACAATCGAACTTCAAACATGTAAATCTTTTTAACGGTTTTTATAAAATAATGTGCAAATTTTCTAACACTATCTTATGGCAAATGTATTTATCTAACATGGCAGGGACTGAAAATTAAAGCAAAGTTTGGAATTCTCTACAGTAGCGCCACTTATTAAACACTTTTTGTTTTTTTCTTCTATGGGTTCAAAATACAGAATTAAATATTTTTAATCTTACCACAGTTTTTGAAAGAAAAATTATGGGCAAACTTTTGTGATTCGAATGGGTCAACATCTAATTCTGTTTAAGGTAATTAAAGTAAGAAAAGTTTTGATGTTGTCTTTAAGTAATTTTATGTTATCTTTGATTTAAATCGGTCGAAGAGTTCAATAATCTAACCACATTTTTGCTAATCTTAAACATAACAACGCGAACTTTATGTCTACATTTAAATTCAAGTGCCCTCCACTTAAACAATCGAGAATTCTTCGACCGGAAGTTCCTCTCGGCAATGCTGAAACGAAGACAACATGTCTTCGTAACCAGTTGATACCCAGTGATTTAGTGATAAAACCCAGGATATAGCATCCCTCCACTCAAATTGAACTAAAATTAAAAAAAAGTAAATAATAACGTTTCACGACGTACCTGTATTTGACCCTGTGTATGTTTATGTATCAAATAAAAATGGCTGGATTGTATTTATATATGGCTATTCAATTGATATATGGCTTCTTTTTCTTCACTTGTCACTGACCACATACCGAGGTTAACTTCAGGATTAAATCGTCATGGGTGAAACCATTTAACATAAATCAATTATATATTTATGAATGGTATCTGATACCATGGGCTTTCAATAGATTTCTATCATCAAATGGTTCAGGAGTTCTACCTTCCATTGTTACGTAGGCTAGCTTAGAAACCGAATATCCGAATTAGAGAAGAGTGTTTTCAACAAGATGGAGCACTTCCAAACAAAACAAGGCCCGCAAGAGAGTTCCTACAGACGCTGATCTCTTTTCATGAACACATTGAATGGCCTCCCTGTTTACCAGATTTCATGCCCCTTGACTTCTTTATCTGGGGCTATTTGAAAGATCGTATGCTCATTTCAAACCAAGAGACCTAGAACAACTTAAGGCCAACATCCGAAGAGAAATGCATTTAGCATTCCACTCCAAATGTGTTAAACAATGCAGCAGTTAGGATGCAGCCTTTCCTCGGAAGACAAAAAAGTGATCATGTGGAGGTGTAAACGTTAAAGGGCCAAAGCATAAAAAGTCAAACTGAACCTATAAACTGTGTATTTGGGAGAAAACTTAAATTTCAAGCTTCGGCTATATGGTCGTGCAAAAATGTTGATTGGTTTATCCAGGCTTGTGAAATACTTTTGGAGACATTTTTGAGATATGGGTATATCTGTTTACCATTTAGTTTAATCAATTTTAGGCGATCAGCTTGGGCGGTTGGTCGGCATCATATCAGAGAGGCTATGGTCATGCTTATCACCCATTTATATACATATATCAAATGTTTTCTTTTTTCCTTGGTCTCCTTTTTGACACATTTGTTTCAGTCATTGGTTTTGGAAATCAGAAGTTGGGCATTGAGGGGGGGGGGAGGCGTTAGGTGTTGACGTTGACGTTATCCTCGGTACAGGGTTTAGATGTGTAAATACACAGTGAGCCAAAAATGCCAGACATTTGATTAATCAAATCATTGTTTAGGCATTTACGTCAACATATATTTACAAAATACCATTGGAAGAATTGTTTTCAAATGATATGATATATCATTCCATAAATTGTGTTAGTAATTAGGCTCAACAGTTCGCATCAAATTATATATTGAACTTTTAATTATATATCTTAGTCCCAATGACACCCCAAACACCACGCCCTTTTTCTAAACCCTCTGAATCCTGCATGTAAGAGCCGAACTATTTTTCCTTCCACGCCAAACACCATTTCCACAAACCGTACAGTAATCCCCAAGCGCGCGTGCAAGAGTCAAGACCTCATTCCGATATTGGTGCAATGATTCATGTCTGCGGACCCCATACGCTCGAAAGATAACACCTTTTTCTTTTGTTATCCAAAAGGAAAACGTTAATTCCAGGTTTGTTGTATTCACATGTTTATTTTCAAACAATGTACAGATTTACATTTACGGAGAGTGGGGTGCCGTAAAGTCCACAACTCTTGGAATTAGAAATTTCACCGTTCGTTAGCCAATCGTGATAATCGTTTCATGGTTTAGTCCAAGTAAAAGGATCCCGAGTAATTCCCACAAGGATAGAAAAATAAAGTTATGTTGCGATTTGCTGGTTTCAGTCACGCGTCCTGTTGCATTCGAGAATTTAAAAAAATTATCTATATTCTAAGGTCGTATCCTTTTATTATGTGGGTGAAAGAAATTGAGTCCCTCTGGCTTTCCATATCCTAACTTCTCTCTAAACTCCTTAGGAAGGCAGTAGTAAGATCTTCTCACGCATGGCTCACAAATACACTTGCCCTCTTTGTAAGCCAACTCAAATGGTGATTTGATTTGCTGCAAAAGACAATGTACATTGATCTAACAAAGTTCAAACGAGAGGTCGATTTGACATGAATTCTCGCTTGTAAAATATTCAATTTTTGGAGTTTGGAAATATTTTCAATTCATTATTAAACATGTTTTGTAACGGTTTCCGGTTCTGAATGGCCTCGTCCTTTTGGATATGATAACTGATTCTTGATAACTGATTATTGAATGTTGTGAGGGTGTTTTTCGTTAGTTACATCTTAGTTTGGGTATAGTGGGGGTTTGTTTTCCTTATGAATTGGAATGCTTGTAAATATTTCTTTTTTATTGTGTTTAATGCCTCGATCACATAAGTTCCGATTCATCGGCCGGCGCCCGTACGATTGAGCATTTTGTTCAAAAAATAAATGCAATCCTGAACAAAATATTCAACCCCGGTGTAAAAGGGTAGGAGGTCCTCTCAAATGATGGTCCTACTCTCCATTGATTTATATGGTGACCTAAATACAACTCTTTCCCTCATTATATTATACACAATCAGGGCCAGTAAGGGCCGTTAAGAAAGGGGACCCTAATCCTTTGGGACCATCATTTCTTTCACACCGGTGTAAAAGGGTAAGAGGTCCTCTCAAATGATGGTCCTACTCTCCATTGATTTATTTGGTGACCTAAATACAACTCTTTCCCTCATTATATTATACGCAATCAGGGCCAGTAAGGGCCGTTAAGAAAGGGGACCCTAATCCTTGGGGACCATCATTTCTTTCACACAGGGACTCAATCGTACGGGCGCCGGCCGATGAATCGGAGCTCATGTGAGCTAGGCATTATTGATATTTTTGTCTTTGGCTAATATACAAATGCTGTCCATCTGACCGTAAAGAGGAGCCTCAAGAAACTCGAGGAAATGGAAGAGATTGTGAAAAACTCACACCACTTTAACAATAGGATTGCTCACCTTTGTCGTGGGGTCCATGAACATGAGGGGGCATCCACAGCACCGCTTATCAGAGACATGACACATTGACATGGTGATAGGGCAACGACGCTGGAATGACTTGAAACGCTCACATGGGTCATCAGATATAGTCTCATTCGTAGGTTCTGGCTCTGGTAGAACTGTGAAGTACAATATGTGTAAGAAGTGGTTTGTAGAGGATATTTATCTTCAAAATGTCAGATATACATAATGTACATGACTTTATATATGGTAAGGATGTGAACCGGTATTAAGGATGTGGACCGGTATCGGTAGACCGGTTCAGTATAAACAATGAGCCTTGGGTATTAGGGAAATACGAATTGTTTATCTCACTTGAATCACATAATGGGCACAGACTCTTATGAAAGTTAAATGGCCAATGATCCAATTTTAGAAAAATATATTTCTTTTGCATTGACTGGGGTAAGCTTATTGAGAAGTGAGTGGGTGTAATTAGTTCAGCTAAAGTGTATTGCATTTAACATGGCATATAGCATACACCTGAGACATAAATACAGTTTAAAGTTTGATTTATTTTGTGCCACACTGGTTTTGGCTTGCCAAAGCCAAGTGTACATTCTTTAAAAACAATAGAAAAATAATACATTGCTCTTTTTTATAGCTGGATATTCTTAAAAATAAAACACAGTTCATTTTATTGTATTGCTACCTAAGTGTTTTTTAAACGCAAATAAAGCACCGATGGAGCAAATAACATAGCCATTTTGTGTTTGGTGGATGGACTGAGAAATAATTTATAGGTTATTTATCTGAAAATATTTCTAGAGTAAGCCCGGGAGGGTAAGTTAAATACAGGAAGAGTGTCTTGAAGTTACAACTCAAAGCAAGACTATATTTGATTTGTTTTCCAAATCAAGACATCCAAAGAGGACACCTTATTTTTACTATACTTGAATTAGAATATGTTTATTCATTCAGCACTTACCGCAGAATTTCAATAATATAGTTTCCAACGAACCCAGCAATTTATCGAAACCAATATTCAACAAGAATTCGGAAGTTGGCTGGCTCGCGATTGCAGAAAATTCAGCCGTCCCATCTTTATTCTTGATGTTTGGTAAACTAACAACGAATACATTGGCCCCGGATTCCCTTTTAAGTGCTGCTGCTTCCTTCTTAGTGTCACCTGCTTTCGATGGCGGAAACGTGGCACCATCTGTTATCACAAGGACTACTTTCTGAATAGGTGGACTCTTTAACCCTAATGTATCTCTTACTCCTTTAGCGCTTGTAAGCTGGACTGTTTTTGCTTCTCTAAGGGCTAAATCTGTTCGTGTTCCACATCTAGGTTTGTGGTCATTTTCTGGATGGATATCCATTTGTGAGATATGTTTTACCACATCTGCGCTGTTTTTGTACGTATTCAAATAAAACTCGCTGTAAACGAATTTGTCGAATGTGATCAGCCCTAACTGTAAAGACAAAGTGCAAATTTGGCTATTCTTGATAATGAAATAAAATGTCTTTCCGAACCTTGTTTGAACAAAATAGCATACATAACATGTTTTTAAACCTCTCAATATTATAGTTATACAAAGGAAGTTTTGGTTGATTTTAAAAAAGTATTCAAACCTTTTATTTCATTAACAAGATACTTTTTTAAAATCAACCAAAATTTCCTTTGTACAATTACAATATTGAGAGACCTAAAAATGTTATGTCGTTTTGTTCCAATGAGGTTCGGAAGGATGTTTCATTTCACTCTGGAAACATGATACCAAGAACAAAACATGTGTTTTCTAAAACAATATAGATGAAAGTACATATATATACAAAACTTTCAAATTACATTGTTACCATTCAAAAGATGACCATTAAATTGACGATGTGTTAAATTTTTAGATTTTTTATGACTGGTTTGAGAGAAACGTGTATTCAAAAAGTTCTCCATATCGATGCACTCCTTTGAATGTATTTTAATCTAACTGGAACATCTTATAACTCAGGCCCGTAGCTAGGATTTGCCAAGGGGGGGGGGGATGGTCACTTATTAAAAATTTCCAGGGGGGGGGGTTCACATTTGACAATTTTGGCCCAAATATGGCTAAAATCACTTGAGGAGTGCTCAAAATGGTGAAAAACTGCATGATTTTGAAAGAATTTTTGGCCGGGGGGGGGGGGGACCCTGCGAACCCCCCTGGCTACGGGCCTGTAATTGGTGGTCAGATTTACAACTCTAAGTTTAAGTGATATGGAGTTAAAAAGTTGTGTTCGTACTCCTGCCGTGATAAGAGAGAAAAAGAGAACATATTGGTATAAAATATATCAAATCTCAATGCTACCTGGACTTTGTCGTCGGCAGGTCCAATATCCAATGCACCGCCAAAGCTCTCCATGAACGAGTGCACCAGGGTCTTGTTTGCTGGAGTGATACTACACGATATATCCAGAATTACCACAATATCAACACCACATGGTACTGCAAGTAAAAACACAAATCATTTAGAGATGTTAACTTCCTTATTGTTGGGTAAGTCTCTTTTTATTTTCACATTTTCTGCGCTTGACGTCATCATTTCTCGCATATGTTTAATTTTCCATCATAGCTGTAGTCCCCTAATCCTTATATGAGACTCTTTATGAGCAAATGCTCGTTGGTCACACATTTTGATTGGCTCCCAGAATGCAACATCGATTTCCTGTCCCATAAATGGTATGGTGATTTTTAACCTTATTTACACGTGACAGGTTCCAGAAACATTAAAGGTTAGAGGTCACCATACCATAAATGTATATACAGGCCCGTAGCCAGAGGGGAGCTGAGGGAGCGGAAGCTCCCCCCTGCCCAGAAATTCTTTCAAAATCATGCAGTTTTTCATCATTCTGAGAATTTTTCGCATGATTTTTAGCCAAAATTGTGAAAAAGCTCCCACCTCTGGAAAAAAGCTCCCCCTCCTGGTAAAAGCTGGCTACGGGCAAGATATACAGGGTGGGCCAAAAAACGCCACTTTTTTCAAAATGCTTTAACTTTTAAATTTTTGATACAAAATCATAATTTGCATACGAAATGAAACCTGAGGTTGTTATCTAGCCATGGATCATGAATTATACACTTTTACTTGAATAAAATATGTCACCAGCGTCTCACTTAAACATGTGGCGTGCCATGAGAAATAAGCATAATTTGCAAAATGTTCCTGAACTGATACGCCCTGATGACCGCCCCGATGACCGCCGAGATAATAGTCCTAATGCAAACCCCAGTGAGTATAGGGTATGGGAAGGTCCAGGAGATGGTATGAAGGCACCCAATCCAAAAAATTGCTCAACTAAAGCTGGCAACTAAGACACGTTGAAAAAAATATAGCTAACATTTCATTGGTACTGCTTTATCAGCAAGGCAAGGATATCTATCATCAAATAGGGTGGCGGACCAATTGAACTCCTCTTTTAGATCAAATATAATCCAAGTTGAAGAACTTGTTACATTATATTATTACTAAGAACCCTTGGCACTATATAACTGCAAAATTTGGGGTATGTAGGTTGGAAAATAAAAAGTTATAGTGTCTTGAAAAAAGTGGCGTTTTTTGGACCACCGTGTATATATGGGACAGAATATCGATTTTTCATTCTGGGAGCCAATCCTCCTTGTTATGGTACGTTCACACCAACGGCGCTTTGATGGCGCTTTAAAGCGGCTTGTAAAGCGGCTTGTAAAGCGGCACCAAAGCGTAACAAAGCTTAATTAAAGCGTCGGGGTCGTAATAGGTCGTAGAAAAGCTCGGGAGTAAAGCGGGATATTCGGCAAGAGCGCTAAATAATTTAAACTGTTTAAGCGTTCGCACCAACGGCGCTTTGATGGCGCTTTAAAGCGGATTGTAAAGCGGCACCAAAGCGTAACAAAGCTTGATTAAAGCGTCGGGATCGTAATAGGTCGTAGAAAAGTTCGGAGTAAAGCGGGATATTCGGCAAGAGCGCCAAAAAATGTTAAACTGTTTAAACATTTTGGGCGCTCTGTTACGAATTGATTGAAGCGCCGAGAGCGTATCAAAGCTTAACAAACCGTAACAAAGCTCAACAAAGCTTGACTCAAAGCGTAGGAAAGCTTAACACAGCTTGGTTCAAAGCGGGGACCCCAGTCTATTCACGGTCTGTTACCACTTGACACGCTTCGTTAAGATGTCTCAAGATTTGCTACGATCTGGCATGAAGATCTGACACGAGGTCAGACGCTTTCATCAATATCTGACACTCTTTGTTACACTTTCCTGACGGACTCTCAAGCTTTCCAACGAATTGAGACGCTTTAATCAAGGATTGAAACGCTTTGCTAGGCTTTGTTACGCTTGAAAGTTTTCACACGCTATATCACGCCGTGCGACAAACGTCATGTCTTCTTCAGATAGGTCATGCTCTGGTCCATCTGGAATTTCTGGATCTCGTTGTTCTGCCATCGTGTTCTCGAGTCAAAGATGCAATGGTTTTATGGATCTACTGCATCTTTATATAGTCATTGGATCAAAAGCGGCATGGAATCGGCGATCTCGACATTTTCCAATGCGTGACAGAGCTTAACAGAGCGTAACAATGCACAACAGAGTTTTGCAATCGTATCAGAGCCTGATTTAAAGCGTCATAATCGCATCAAAGCGTAATAATGCTTATCAAAGCTTTTCAAAGCGTGATTTCAAGCGTAACAAAGCCTGATCAAAGCGGGATCAAAGCGTGAGGAACCTTTTAGAGCTATGTTAAGCTTTCCTACGCTTTGGATCAAGTTTTTCTGAGCTTTGTTACGGTTTGTTAAGCTTTGATACACTCTCGGCGCTTAATCGATTCGTAACAGAGCGCCCAAAATTTTTTAAGAGTTTAAAATTTTTTGGCGCTCTTGCCGAATATCCCGTTTTACTCTGAGCTTTTCTACGACCTATTACGACCCCGACGCTTTAATCAAACTTTGTTACGCTTTGGTGCCGCTTTACAAGCCGCTTTAAAGCGCCATCAAAGCGCCGTTGGTATGAAGAAAAATGACAAAAATGACGGCGCTTTGCTCGCCGATTTAAAGCGTGGCATTCGCCGTTGGTGTGAACGTACCTGTATTGACATGAAATATCGGCAGTTTGTAATTAAGATTTCCGTTTGCCACCAGCCATTATTTCTATGCAGTTTGCCGTCACCGGCCGTGGAATATTTTATATTAATCTTCAGTTTTAGTAACTACCATCTCAAATCTTGCGCTATTGTTAAATTATTATACATTATAAATAACAATCCATTCCATAATATAGCCAAAAGGCCAGCAGCCAATTTTTTGTCATTTAAAACAATCCCGGAGGGTTTAAAATGGTCAAAAACTGATTGATTTTGATTCTCTGATTTTTGTTAATTTAAAATCAATAAGTGAATTCGATCAGTATTCCAGAATCATTGGCAATAGTAAACCGAATAAGACGTAATCAGCAAAAATGTCATATTATTTAATGTCTTTTTTAGGTTCTTCAGTAAATTAAGTTCATAGTAAATTATAACTTACAGTCTATAACCTGTGCGTAGACGACTGGACCAAACACCAACAAGCAACCAAATGCCAGCATACGCAACATAGTGAACCTACACATGCACGAAACAAGTAAAGCTTAATGCGCTTAGATCATGAAACATAATTATTACAAGCACAGTAAATTAACGAGGCGGTGTCTTTTATGATACCGAATTACTCCAAAACATTTTTTTCATAATTTACTCAAAAGAATACTGAGATAGCGCATGAAAAGGATTGGTATCGATATGGTGAACTAAATTCAACAATGTTTTTCTCTTAAACCATGCAAATATTGAAAACATTCTATAAAAACACGGTCTTTAATGTAATGTTTACTGATTGACAACATTTAATGTGAAAATTGTTTATTTTATATATATTGTTTTTGTCCAAATTTTTTTCTTTTTTCAGTGCAATTGTTTTGTTCCTTTCTACCAATTCTTGAAAATAAAATAATATATCTTCCCGAACCTTGTTGGAACAAAACAAAGAAAGACCTCTCAATAGATAAAAAAAATTAAGATAAACCTTTTATTTTATTAACAAGATACTTTTTTTAAATCAACCAAACTTTCCTTTGAACAATTACAATACCGAGAGACCTAAACACATTGTGTTTATGTCATTTTGTTCCAATGAGGTGCTGATAGATGTTTCAATTCATTCGGAACATATGATACCAAGAACAAAAGAAGTGTCTGATGTGTTTTCTAAAACAATATAGAGAAAAACATTTTTTTAAATTATATTATTACCATTCAAAAAATGACCATTAAATTGACCATGTGTAAATTGTAAAATTTTCAATATTTTTGATGACTTGTTTAAGAACGTGTGTTCAAAAAGTTCACCATATCGATACCAATCCTTTAAGTGCAAAAATATCCAAAATCATTAAAATTGAAAAACCAGAATAATTTGTTCAATGTTTGCCAGATAACCTTAAAAACAAAGAATAATTGTAGTAATTTCTGTTGTCCCTTGAAAAATTCCAATTGATAGATATATTCTTACCTTTTGAAGTAATCTTAATAAGCTTTGTTATTTTTACTAGACTTTATATATGATGATTACATTTTTATAGTTTTTTAATGTCATCTTTCCTGTAAGTAAACAGCTATATACATTGTTTACTCATACATAGGAAAGCTTTAACAGGAAGCCAATCACCCACGAAGTGCTTAGCAATAAAAAGGCCATAATCGAATGATATATTACAGAGAACTACAGAACTTATTCAAATACGAGTAAAAAAGTAAAAGCTACATTGTCAGCTTTCATCAGAAATTCTTACACGAAATTTACATGCAAGATGTCACCACCTACCATTTTTAAAGACGTCAACCGCAGAACACCGTCCACAAAAAGGTTGGAGACTATAACACTATATCACCACTCCTGGCTTAAGATGTTGAAGCCATTGGTTGCACGATCGATGGATGTCTGCGAAAGTACCATTCAACTTCTAATTGTTAGTTCTTTCAGTTCATCCACATCCCTGATCATGATGGGCCGGGGACATTCATAGACTGCTCTGATTCCACCAAGTATGGTCGTCAACATGATTGACATCTGAATTGTTAGGAAGCCATTCGTTTGGACTGATGATGGTGACGTCATTTTGGGTCTCTAAAAACTCCAGGATGGTATGCCACTCAGTGTTTCCATAATTGGACAGTCTAAAAAAGAATAATTTGTTTTATAAGCATATACATATGTACATTAAGCATACATGATTGAACATGAAGGAAACTGAATGAAAACAATATTCAATATCCAGTTAGGAAAATTTCGTGACAATGATGCAATTTTAAACTAACCCTACTATCACACCAAACTAGTTCACTACATTCTCGAAAACGGGCTTAAACTGTGCACGAACGGATTTGACGTACTAAGAACCCACTAAGAACCGTTTGGGATCTGTTTACAAGCTTCACGAAACTAATAGAACGAGTAGGTTCTCCAGATCTAAAAGCATGCTCAAAATTTTCTGGTGGTCGTCAAAACGTTGCGTGCGAACTGAATGAACGTAGCTACAACGTTCTACGGTCTGTTTACGAACTTCATGGACTTTCCCGGACGGGGAATGTGATTTAGAATCTTGAATCGATTCAAAATTCGATGGCGACCATACCGTTCTATAATCAGGTCATGATGACCTTCTAGACTAACCCTACTATCACACCAAACTAGTTTTCACTACGTTCTCGAAAACGGCCTTCAACTGTGTAAGAACGGACTGGACGTATTTAGAACCGTTTGGGGTCTATCTAGAAACTTCATCGAACGAACTCGAACTTAGAACATGCTCAAAATGTTCTCGTGGTCGATACGTTCTACAATTAGAACAAGTGACAACGTACTAACGACGAGCTGGACGTACTACGAACGGAACCGTCGTACTTCAATCCTACAAGGGACGTTTTAACAACGAGTTGAACTGTCTGAGGACGTATTGAGAACGAGGTAGAACTAATTGAAAACGGGTTTAAACTGATTAAGAACGTATTTAACACTGCTTATGAACGAGTTGGCAAAAATATAGGTATCACACCAAACAAGTTGCCACTGCGTTCTTCAAAACTGGTTTTAAACTGAGTGCGAACAGAATGAACGTAGCTGCAACTTTCTAAGGTCTATTTACGAACTTCATGAACGTTCTCAGGAAGGTGATTTTAGAATTTTGAATCGATTCAAAATTCGATGGCGACCATATCGTTCTGTAATCAGGTCATGTAGACCTTCTAGACTAAGGGACGCGTTCTACGACGTTGCACACCGACGTGGTGCGACCTGAACGAACTGCGAACGAGATGGACATATCGAAGACTGTTTAAGAACGAAGTAGCTAATTATTTTAGACATATTTCCCGACCAAAGCCAGATTGAGCCCGTTTTACGACGTTTTCGTAGGACTGGCAAGAACGGGTAAGAACTAGTTTGGTGTGATAGGGGGGTAAGGGGCGCGTTATACGACGTTGCACACCGACGTGGTGCGACCTGAACGAACTGCGAATGAGATGGACGTATCGAAGACTGTTTATGAACGAAGTAGCTAGATTCAGCCCGTTTTACGACGTTTTCGCAGGACTGGCAAGAACGGGTGAGAACTAGTTTGGTGTGATAGGGGGGGGGGGGTTACAGCGTTTTATTTATACCAATACGCGATAACGTTTAGTTTAGCTCAGTTTAGTTACCTCCAATTTGAAGAGCTCTCATGTATGGTACAACTTCGTCTACTTCCGGGTTCTTTCTCATTAGATTACACAGGGGTGCTATTTTCAATGTCGCACTGCGACTCTATTAAACATTTATGTAGAGTTGCATTCGCACAAATGATGAGTATGTATGTAATTAAGATATATAACGAGGCTTTTTGAACTGTAATCCACAAATCCGAAGAAAGCTGTAGTTGAAAATGCCGTCCAATTCCAGTGACGTCACTGATTTCATCGAAGATCGAAAAATATAAATAATGTTACTTTGAATCTCCGATTATCTTTCTGATTATTAAATAGATTGGATCATATAACTATGCTTGAGGGGTGATGGAAGATAAGAAGCTGAGAAACGTTCAATTTAATGGTCATCTTTTGAATGGTATCAATATAATTTGAAAAATGTATATATACTTTTATTTATATTGTTTTAGAAAACACATCAAACACTTGTTTTGTTCTTGGTATCATGTTTCCAGAGTGAAATGAAACATCTTTCCGAACCTCATTGGAACAAAACGACATTAACACAACATTTTTAGGTCTCTCAATATTGTCATTGTACAAAGGAAATTTTGGTTGATTTTAAAAAAGTATCTTGTTAATGAAATAAAAGGTTTATCTTGATTTTTATCTATTTTCGGGGATTTTGTTTTAATTTTTTAAATACTTTAAAAACTTCATTTGTATAACTATAATATTGAGAGGTTTAAAAACATGTAATGTAATTTTCTGTAGCAGTAGGTACTCCAAATTGTAAAAAGGAGATTTAGTTTTTACTAATATTTTTGATCATTGCTAATGACACACATAATTCAGCCCAAACGCCCGAAGAATATTGAACGTGTATAATAAAAAACAATACTGGACATGTGCACGCCTAACCATCGACAACGTACAGTGACAGGATATACCGTCGTACACTTTGGTGTACGGTGTCACTATTAATTTATTTGGAGCGAAAACTATGATGTAGGCCTACGGTACAGCTAGATTTGATTGTGGTTTTCAAACATTAATTTGAGGAGTACATAAAGGATTTCATGTTTGATTTCGTGTGTATTCGATTAGGAAGACATTAAAAGATTTTCGAGCAGTGCTCGATTCTTTTCGTTGTGAATCTACCCATGCAATTGATCAGTTGGAAAAATGTGTTTTTTACACATTTTTTTTGGATCATTTTCTTCCCTGTCGTCTAAGTGCCGAATATTTTTTATGAGACTATGTTTCTCTAAACTACACAATCTAAGGCGGTTGAAGGCTTTATAAATATTCATGTATTTGGTATAATTTAAAAAAATCTAAAATGTACGTTGTCATCTCCAATGTACATTGTCCCTGTAATTAAATGTAAACAATGCAATGATTTAATTTCAAAACGCATTAAGGGTTATATGAGTAACAAGTGATGTTCAACGAACATGTTCATGTATCCCTGGCGCAGATATACAGGTAAAAGTGACTTTAACCTCTTATTGAATGCTATTTTATTTTATGAAAGTGTTGATATGGTGATTAATATTTGACCATGGGGTGTTATCTTCTAACATCTTTGACCATTCGGCTATATCCGGAAAGTGTAGAGGTTCAATATAAATAGTTCAATCAAGTTGAATTAGTAATATTGGATTGTTCCGTTTCAGTTTTCAATGGATCTGATCCCCCTGCCCCTTAGTGTTATGAAAAATACGTTGTCTAAACTCAGATATGTAAGTTCAATGGGACAACGTACATTGAGATGACAAAGTACACTTATTATTTTTTTAATTTTACTATTTCAGCAAAAGCGTGAATATTTATTAAATCTTCACAGTCAAGCCAAGTAACTAAGTCAACATTCGAAAATAAAAATCTCAAAAATCGTACATCTTTGATTTCCAAAATAATTTGTGAGGTGGCTATTAAGCTGATAATACATCTTTTAACGTATTAATTTTGAGTACATCTTGAATCCATTCTCAACAAAGCGTTGTCGAAATAGGGATTCGAAATATTTGAGTTCGGGATGATAAAAGTACGTTAAGATATACCGCTCCTTAACAAACTCCTTTGGGAACAAGATATAGAATCAAATGCATATTCTTCTTATTTACTCCCTGACACATGCCAACGAATGTTACATCAGTTAATATCTCCGTTTTAAATAATTTTGTAAAACGTTACTTTCTCTACAGGTGCCATTTTTACAATTGAAAAACAAAATTGAACATTTTGCATTTCTAAATTGATAAGTTTCTTGGAATACAACTTAACTGTTAACGATTTAAGTCATTAATAATATTTCCCTCAGTGATCCCATGCTAAATAGACAGTAACTAGGTTATTATTTTGTGTTCAACCTTGTTTTCATGACTTTTAAACATGAGTCGACAATTATGTAGGAAATTTCAATTCCAAATGTAAGCGTGTCAACTCCTGTTTTTGCACAAAATTTAGCCTTTTATAAAGATAGATCGCCAAAATCTGCATGTACCTCTCAATGAGGCGACACATTTTTAAATTTATAGATGCTGAGCTCTAAACTCAAACAAAAATTCAAACCACCCGCTATTATTTTGATTACACAAGACGGAAGTTCCACTCCCGGGGAGCACTGTGGTAACACTTTGAAGGAGGATTCTTGAAAAATCGTTCGAATTTTCACAAAAGGTTTCACGCAGTTTTATTGCTTTGTTTAAGCCTCGACTAAAATCATACTCAAATCCGATACCATAATTATAAATTAAAATGAAACATTAAACTCAGGTCAGGTTATATGATAAACCGTTTCGAGAATTGATGATTTGAGTTAACTGTGTATATTTAAATAAATGAAAGTCGGCATGTATTCGACAGTTAATGTAGACACATGATGTATGCATCCACGTGTGACTTAAATATCGATTCATGACTATCATATTTGGCTTTCAAAAATTAAGTTGGAAGTTACAGTGGTTGGAGATTAACGAAAACGTCAATCACATCCGAATATCCGAACGACGTCAAGTATTAACAATACCCCTTTTGTGCATCTCGAACAAGGCAAGGTTCTGTGATCCAGCAATGTGCATTCCGAAAGAAAAAATTCACAAATATCAACAAATTTCATTGAGTTGGATATTACATTCGAAATCACAACTTTCGAAATGTTTGTTTTAAACAAGAATTGTAAGAACTTAAAACATGTTGTTAGTTTTTTAAACCGCATATCCTCACTTACGTTCTTTGACAAGGACGAATTCATTTGAAAACATGGATTTTCTTGATTATTCTTCAAAACTACCCTTGAAATATAAGTGTGTGGGATATTACAGTGTAAATTGACACGCATTTGTTTCCTCCATATCATGAAAAAATAAATGCAGTACCATCTTTCAATATTTGAAAACAAAAAGTTCATTCTGTATGTAAACAAGAAAAAATACATTTATGGTTGATTCATAATGAAAAATGACAAATAACATACATGTTTCTAAGTAGGGGTATACAGGGACATAGTGGAAATTCAGAAATTTAGGCCATATCCCAAAGACTGCTTCACCAATATGTAACAGAACATCAAATTTATCATTTACACGTTTGCTGATAGGTTTATTGAAAATAATTAAACAGAGGTTTACTTCAATTGTGGCACCATTCTTAGTTAATATTGATGGACATACGAATATCGAATGTTGACTAAGTTACTTGGCTTGACCGTTCAACCGACCCTAATTATGTTTTGGGAAACACATTCCCATAAAAATAATCGACACTCTTAGGCGATAGGGGAAAAATGACATCTTTCACGGAATTAGAAAGGTAAATGTCTTCCAAATCGAATACACACGAAATTAAACATAAAATCCCTTAAGTATTCCTCAGATTAATTCTTAAAACCTACACCACACCCACATCATCGTTTTTGCTTCATATCAGTTAGAAAGGTGACACCGTACATCTAAAGGGTACGACGGTATATTTTGTCATTGCTCGTTGTCGATTGTTACACCCCAGTCACATTTGTCGTACGGCGGCCGTAAGTCGACCGCAGATCAATTCAATCAGTGAATATCTGCGGCGAGCGTAAGAAAACTACGCCCGCCTTGCGGTCTCCGTGTGGTGTATCCAGTTTTTTACAGGCCGCATGGAGGGCGTAGAAATTATAACTCGGAGTTATATTTGTTAATTTCTGTGGTCCCCGTAGAAATTAACAGGCAGTTGCCAGACCACAGAACAGTCCTACGGTGGCCGCACATTGACTTGAGCCTGTCGTAGTGTTTTGATGCGTTATTTACCTTTGGAAATAGTTTTAGGTCAGGTTTGCTGTCATATCTTTGCTGAGAGCACAGCATAATAGGTATGCTGTTTGATGTATTACCATAGCAACCTATACTACAAAAGGTTAAGTTACTAATAGTCAATGTAACACCCAGTCACATTTCCTACGGCCGCCTTGCGGTCTATCATTTCTGCGGTCAGTAGCTTTTCTACGCTCGCCGTAGAATTTCTGCGCTCTCATACTTTTGCAGTCACATTTCCCACGGCAGCCGCACGAATTTTAAATTTCTGTTGATAAATAATACTTATTTTCATTTTATTCACATCAGGACAATTTATAAAAGTTATTCATAGTGCTAGGATGTAATATCAAATGAAAAGTGTTCGTGAAACATTGACAAATAATGATTTAATCTTGTTGAGCCAGTTGATTTCTACGGGCACCGCAGAAATGAACAAATATTATAACTCCGAGTTATAATCTCTACACCTTCCCTGCGGCCTATAAAAATCTGCATACGCCGAACGGAGACCGCAAGGCGCCCGTAGTTTTCCTACGCTCGCCGAAGAAATTCACAGATTTAATTGATCTGCAGTCGACTTACGGCCGCCGTACGACAAATGTGACTGGGATGTAACATTCAGCACTTTCTATTTGATACTCTATCCTAGCACTATAAATAACATTTATGAAGAGCGTTTTGCTGGCAAAATATTATATAAAATTAAGTCTAATAAAGGCCATCTGGCGTGGATTTCGCCCGAGCCATGTAATTTTTTTCTTTTCCGAGTTGAATTCTC